GGCCCATCGGAATTCAGTACTACGGCGGCGAAAAAAAACCTTTAAGACAATGGATAGCGACGGTTGCGAAAAAGAAAAAATTCCAGAGGGAGATTGTGAAAACATGTGACACTGACTTCACAACAGCTTCTGCAGAAATAAAAAAACCGACTGTTGATCCCATACCCTGTTGTAAACAGAAGGTTTTGGAGCAAAGTGTTTGAATGGGCACTGACGTGCTGCTGGACACCGAGACTGAGAAAGCAGTGTCGGTGTCACAAGAAGATTTTGAGGTTTGATAACAGCCGAATACCAAGAAGCAAAGACAATGAGAAAAATTTGGAATTTTTAGAAATTTCAAAAGACAAAGAGCAAAAGAAAGATGCAAAGAAAGTGCAACAAAAAAACTTAGCGAAAAAAAAACAAAATGTTTTCTGTTTGAAAAACTAAAATCTGCAACCAATCAAGCTAAGCATAAAATTACTCTTGATGAAAGATATTAGTTGTTGATAGTTCGAGTTAACAATTGCTGCAATTTAAAATTTGCTTTTTGATTTAGTTTGTATTTTACAAACAATCAACAATTGTTCGAAAAGGTATGCGCAAAGTGTAACTTGAAACTTTTCTAGACTGCATGACTGTTCTTGAACAACTAATAAGGTTGTTCGCATTGTGCTGACGTGAAGAGACTTCATTAATCTCTCGAGAACGGCAAGTAAATCAACGTTCCTTCTAACGAAAGAATATTTTATTTTGTTTTGAGGACAACTTAAACTAAAAATTTCAGAAAGGTTTTGAAATGCAGGATAACTTTAGCTTGTTGGTTGGTAGGACGTTCCTGCGTCCCAACACATTATAAACATAGGAAAATTTTTTTGATTTGAGAGACGAATAAATAAAAGAAGTTTCATCTTAGGTCATAGCCGCATAGCGCAGATTAATGAGACTGTTATAAGGCTATTGTGGTATGATGCATTTTTTTTGTATATGTCTATGTCAGTAGTTTAGGCTCATTGGCGTAAATCTACGGATCAGAGACTTTCAGTCGGTTGGGCAGATAGTTTATGAAGATGCAGAAAAGTAGCGGATTGTTGCGTTGAAGATAATCAAGGTAGTCGCACATGATTTTTATCAAAAGCTTTTTGTACATGAAAAATCCCACGTAAAATGCAATCAAATATTCTGTTGTGTTCTTTTACAAGGATTTGTAGATTTTACTCACAAATGAGAGCGTAATTGTGACTACTGATCTGCCTTTGATGAAACCATGTTGATGATTGGTTAGTAAGTTTTCGAAGTGAGATTCATTTATACAGTTTCCCTTGTTTTTTTGCTATTTTTGTTTAACAGTGCTATGGACGCCAGTTTTCGACTCTGAGCCTGTCATTTTTACAACTTAAATATTGGTGTTTTTAGGATTCTGACTGGAATCTTATACAATAAATTAAACTCCGAATGTGCTATCGAATCAATATTTAAATGAACAGAACGCTCAAGAAATATTACGAGACAATGATTTAAGGGCTATCGAGGGTAACGTTTAAAAATCATTCAGAGAAACCGTGAGAAGAAAACGAACTCGATCCAACTTCAAGGATAGACATAAATTGTTTAATTTTTGTCTAAAATTTCAAATGTTTGTCTGAAAGTGTTTGTTCATCAAGTGTAAAAAATTACACTTGATGAAAGATATTAGTTGTTGATAGTTCGAGTTTACAATTGCTGCAATTATGAATTTGCTTTATGATTTCGTTTGTTTTTTACAAGCAATCAACAATTATTCGAAAAGGCATGCGCAAAGTGTAGTTTGAAAGTTTTCTAGACTGCATGACTGTTTTTGAACAACTAAGATGGTTGTTTGCATTGTACTGACGTGAAGAGACTTGATTATTCTCTTGAGAACGGCAACTAAATAAAAGTTCCTTCTAACGACAGAATTTTTTATTTTCAATATTGAGGACAAATTAAACTAAAAATTTCAGAAAGGTTTTGAAATGCAGGATAACTTTAGCTTGTTGGTCCCAACACATTATAAACATAGGAAAACTTTTTTGATTTGAGAAATGAATTTAAAAAAGATTTTTCATCTTAGGTCATAGCCGCATAGCGCAGAATAATGAGACTGTTATAAGGCTATTGTGGTATGATGCATTTTTTGAACGTAGTGATTTGATTTGTCTATGTCTATGTCAGTAGTCTACGGATCAGAGATTTTCAGTCAATCGGGGAGATAGTTAATGAAGATGCAGAAAAGTAGCGGATCGTTGTGTTAAAGATAATCAAGTAGTCGCACATGATTTTAAGAAATTGTTTTGCCATTTTTTTTCAACTTTTTTGAGCAATTCTTAATGTAGTAATTTATCAAAAGCTTTTTGTACATAAAAAACACCCGTGAAATGCAACCAATTATTTTGTTGTGTTCTTTTATAAGGATTTGTAGATTTTACTCACAAATGAGAGCGTAATTGTGACTACTGATCTGCCTTTGATGAAACCATGTTAATGATTGGTTAGTAAATTTTCGAAGTGTGAGTGCAGAGATTCAATTATACAGTTTCCCTTGTTCTTTTGCTATCTTTTTTTAACAGTGCTATGGACGCCAGTTTTCGACTCTGAGCCTGTCATTTTTACAACATAAATATTGGTGTTTTTAGGATTTTGACTGGAATCTTATACAATAAATTAAACTCCGAATGTGCTATCGAATCAATATTTAAATGAACAGAACGCTCAAGAAATATTACGAGACAATGATTTAAGGGCTATCGAGGGTAACGTTTAAAAATCATTCAGAGCAACCGTGAGAAGAAAACGAACTCGATCCAACTTCAAGGATAGACATAAATTGTTTAATTTTTGTCTAAAATTTCAAATGTTTGTCTGAAAGTGTTTGTTCATCAAGTGTAAAAAATTACACTTGATGAAAGATATTAGTTGTTGATAGTTCGAGTTTACAATTGCTGCAATTATGAATTTGCTTTATGATTTCGTTTGTTTTTTACAAGCAATCAACAATTATTCGAAAAGGCATGCGCAAAGTGTAGTTTGAAAGTTTTCTAGACTGCATGACTGTTTTTGAACAACTTAGATGGTTGTTTGCATTGTACTGACGTGAAGAGACTTGATTATTCTCTTGAGAACGGCAACTAAATAAACGTTCCTTCTAACGACAGAATTTTTTATTTTCAATATTGAGGACAAATTAAACTAAAAATTTCAGAAATGTTTTGAAATGCAGGATAACTTTAGCTTGTTGGTCCCAACACATTATAAACATAGGAAAACTTTTTTGATTTGAGAAATGAATTTGAAAAAGATTTTTCATCTTAGGTCATAGCCGCATAGCGCAGAATAATGAGACTGTTATAAGGCTATTGTGGTATGATGCATTTTTTGAACGTAGTGATTTGATTTGTCTATGTCTATGTCAGTAGTCTACGGATCAGAAAATTTCAGTCAATCGGGGAGATAGTTAATGAAGATGCAGAAAAGTAGCGGATCGTTGTGTTAAAGATAATCAAGGTAGTCGCACATGATTTTAAGAAATTGTTTTGCCATTTTTTTTCAACTTTTTTGAGCAATTCTTAATGTAGTAATTTATCAAAAGCTTTTTGTACATGAAAAACACCCGTAAAATGCAACCAATTATTTTGTTGTGTTCTTTTATAAGGATTTGTAGATTTGACTCACAAATGAGAATGTAATTGTGACTACTGATCTGCTTTTGATGAAACCATATTAATGATTGGTTGGTAAGTTTTCAAAGTGTGAGTGCAGAGATTCATTTATTCAGTTTTCCATGATTTTTTGCTATCTTTGTTTAACAGTACTATGGGACGCCAGTTTTCGACTCTGAGCCTGTCAATTTTACAACATAAATATTGGTGTTTTTAGGATTTCGACTGGAATCTCACACATTAAAATAAACTCCGAATGTGCTATGGACTCAATGTTTAAATGAACAGAATTTTAAGAAAATCTTAGGAGACAATGATTTAAAGGCTATAGAGCGTAACGTTTAACAATCATTCAGAGCAACCATGAGAAGAAAATAAACTCGATCCAACTTCAAGGATAGACATTAATTGTTTAATTTTTGTCTAAAGTTTCATTTGTTTGTCTGAAAATGGGACTGTCAAAATTTCAGCCGGAAGTGGATCAATTAAAAACAGGACCTCCCAATTCTAAGAAGGAAACTTTTAGCGAACCGATTCTGTATATGAAATAAGTGGAAATAGCTTGGCTTAGAACAACTTAAGCTTTTCGTGACCCGATTCAGTTTATGAAAACGTTTGAATAACTCATAGTTTTACAGGTTGACCAGCTTGCTACAAAAAAAAGCTTTTTGCGAACCGGTTCAGTTCATAAAAAAAACTTGAGATAAATCAAAATTTCATAACTTTAAAAGATTGATTAGAAAAACAACCTTCTCACAAACCAATTCCGTCTATGTAATATTTTGAAATGTTTCAAAATTTGCATAGCTCTAATAGCTTGCTTAAAGTAACTTCAACTGTTTGCCAACAGATTCGTTCTATCAAAAAACTTGAACTATTTCAAAGTTTTCTAGCTTGATCACCTTGCTACAAAAAAATTAAATTTTTCTCGAACCAATTCAGTTTATGAAGAAATTATAAACCACTAATTAAAAACTATAAAAATTTGCTTGGATGAACAATTTTTTCACAAACCGATTTCGTCTATGAAATAACTTGAAAACGTTCAAAGTTTCATAGCTTTAAAAGCTTGCTAAGAAAAACTTTAATATTTTTGCAAACCGAAAATAGCTTGCAGTTGTTTAGAGGTTTTATATTGAACAGCTTGCTTAGAAAAGTTTTTGCTTTTGCGATCTGATTAGGTTCAAGAAACAAATTGAAATATTTCAAAGTTTCATAGCATTAAATACTTGCTTAGAAAAAACTGGAGCTTATCACGACCCCAGTCGGTCCACAAAATAAATTAAGTTATTTCAAAGTTTCATAGTTTGCTTCAAAAAAACTGAAGGTGTTCGCAATTAGCCTAATTGTTGTGATAAACTTATTAAATAGTTTCCGGTTTGATATGTCTCAAGCAAAAGCTACTAGATGTGGACCATGCAACAAACCAGTGAAAGACAACGACTCAACTGCTATAGGATGTGAAAAGTGCAGCGCTTGGTTCCATGGGCAATGTGTTGGATTGTCTCCTGATGATAGCTACAATGGGCAAAATTCGAGGATGCATCTGGCTGTGCTCTGGCTGCCTTGAGGGGAACATCTTCACATCCCAAGCTAAGTTTGAACTGATTTTTCAAAGACAAGAAAGCTTAATCGAAATTACAAAAAGCATTAAAGAAACTGTTGAAAATGTTGATCCAACCAAGACAACATCATCGAATGTACCGGTTAATAGTCGTATTAATAACAGTCACCGGGCCAACACATGTGAAAACGAGATAATCATTGACGGAGTCTGCGAAGACAACGGTCAGTTTACATCCAATATAGAGGCCGAAGAAGCCAAAGTGGCCGAAATTTATGATCATACAAGCGAAGAAAAACTCAGTATCTGCAAAATGTATAGACTTGGTAAAGCTAATCCCCAACAACGAAGACCGCGTCCTTTACTTGTTCGTCTGTCTTCCGAATGGAATGCTAGAAAATGCCTAGCAAAATCTTACAAACTGAAGAAGTTCAAAGAAAAGATTTTCATATCGAAGTCCCTAAACCAAGAAGAACAGATTCTGAAACGTAAAATCTTCAAGAAACGGTACGACATGATTAACAATGAAAAAGTTCCACGCGATGAGCTAAAAATTCATGGTCTGACCCGCGAACGAAATGGTATCAAGATCAATCTTGACTGACTACAATCAAAATTATGCCTTATCAACGCACAAAGTCTCTTGAGCCTAAATCAGCGTCTGAAGTTAATCAATTTTCTTTCTTTACATTCTCCTGATATCGTGTTCATTACTGAAACATGGTTTAAACCAGAAATTACTGATCCCGAAATTTTTCCTATGAATTCTCCCTATTCGGTTATTGCTCGAAAAGACCGCACTTCTGGAGAACACGGAGGTGTTCTCATTGCTACAAAAAATAGTTTTGCTTTAAATTATTCAATTCCATCATACGATGCAGATTACTGCATCAGACTTTCAATATATTCGGGTGCAGTTAATCATATTTTCCTCCTTATTTACAACCCCCCCGCGTCGTCGCAGTTTCGGATACCTGCCAAAACGCTTACTGATTCAATACGTTATTTTAACTCCAAATTGATTAATGGTTCTAGTTCGTACACAATCTTAGGTGACCTAAATCTGCCTGATATCTGTTGGGCATCTTCTGATGGAGGCTGTGATTACTCAAAACTGTTCCTAGAGGTTATTGAGGATCATAGCTTAATGCCTCTTGTATATGAACCCACACATCGCTCAGGCAACACTCTTGATATCATTTTAACTTCGCACACAGAATTGTTCACTGCATTTGTAAATGAAGTGCTTTACTCAGACCATTTTCCTTTATTTGCATTTTTTACCATTCCTGAAGCAGCGCCTACTGTGATTGGGAATTTTATGAAATCCTCGCTATCTAAATCATCTTTCTCTCATTCGATCTTCAATAGTAACATCAGCCCTTGCTTTACCAAACTCATTGTGGAACAAAACTCATGTTATTCCATATCCACCACTAATGATTATGTAGATAGCTGGTACGCTCAGATCAATCATGCAATTTTTTATCATGCGCACATAAAACTAAAAGACGCCAGCAACTTCCCTATTATTTTTCGTCGCATACAGTTCATTTACTGAATAAGCACTATTCCATATCTAAACGGACAGCCAATACAAATCATTTAGCTTCGATCCAACAAGACCTTAACAATTCAATCGAGTTGGGTAAAACTTGTCTCCTTGAATCTTTAAGACCAAATTCTACCCGTGATTGCTTTAAATACCTTCGATCTTTTACCAAAAGGAAACTACCAAACCAAATGCACTGGATGAATAGAAAAGCATCCACTTCTATTGAAATAGCCATTCTTTTGAACGATTACTTACTTCTGTTCAGTGTTTCTAGAAAAGCACGAAATTCAAATCCTACAACCCAAAAAACCCACCATTTTTCTATCCGATCTCCATGTCAACCTTAATAAGGTCGAGAAAGCTCTCGAATTTGCTAAACCTTCTTGCATTACCAACGACCACCTCCCAACCTTTATTCTTAACTGCTGCAGTGAATTAATATCTCCTCTAGTCGTGCAGCTCTTTGTCAAGGTTTTGGAAACTAAAACGTGGCCAGAACTTTGGAAATGTGCGTTTATTACGCCAATTCTTAATTCTAGTATTCCCGAAAACGTTGAAAATTATCGCCCGATTAGCATATTGCCTCAATTATCGATTATTCTGGAGAGAATGATCTTCGATTTCATTTATCCTAAAATTCAGGCTAAAGTTACACCTGCTCAACATGGTTTTATGACCAAGCGATCGACTGTTACTCAGCTTTTTGAATACCTAGATCAGATTTATAACGACGTTGAGGCAAAAAACGAATGTCTTTCTGTGTACTTCGATTTTCGCAAGGCTTTTGATCAAGTTCCTCATCATATACTTATTTCGAAACTTGGTAATTTAGGCTTTGACATTAGCTTTCTTTAACTTTTTGCTTCCTATCTCACAAACCGGACGCAAATTGTCTTAATTAACAATGAAGCATCTCCAAAAGGCCATGTAACAAGTGGTGTTCCGCAAGGAAGTGTACTCGGCCCTTTGCTATTTATACTCTTCCTTAATGACATGCCAGCGGTCTTGAAAACCTCTAATTGCTTTCTGTTTGCTGATGACAGCAAACTCTATTCAAAATATGACTTTTCCTTAGTTCAAATAGACATTGATCTATTTATCAATTGGACGCTTGAAAACGAAATGACATTTAATTCTGATAAATGCAAAGTTATTTGTTTTAACTCAACTTCCCCCAAATCTATTCTTTGCCTTAATGATTACCTAATTCCGTCAGTTTCATCTATCAAAGATCTCGGAGTAACGATATCTAGTGATTTAAAGTGGGATATCCACATTAAAACCAAACTGGTCGCAGTTAACATAGCTTTCCATTTCTTAAAACGTTCAATCCCTTATGGAGTATCCATGAGAACCAAATTCAAATATTACCAGCTATGTATTATGAGTATTTTATTGTACGGTAGTCAGGTCTGGTTTCCATCTTTAACATATCGCCGCAAACTAGAATTATTTAACAGAAAATGTTTGAAATGGGTAACGGGAGTGAACGACTATACAGAACAACTTAGAAAAACGAATTCCTTGCCAATTTCCTTCACTATAGCTTTACATGATATGTGTTTTCTTAATCGAGTCCTGACTGATCAATTTGATTTCGACCTTTACAAATACATAAATTTTACCTTTGCAGCCAAACACCTTCGCAATAGCTCACGCCCTAAGCTTTCAACAACCCAGAATTGTCGACTCTTCTTTACAGAGCAATTTTTCTTCTATCGCGTCTGTCGGTATGCCAACATGATTTCAGCAAACAACATAGCCTACATTTTCTCATCGCCTGAAACTTTCAAAGCAAAATTGAAAATCTATCTGAAAAATAGAATTGATATGTTCAACTTAAACAACTCTTGTTCAATGCTACTTTGTTGCCATTGCATAAATTGCCGTTCGTGATGTCTTGTGTACATAATCATACCGTTTCTTTTGTTTGATGCCTTTATATTTTAAAAGGAATAAATTCTTTTAGTAGTAGTAGTAGTTGCAATTAAATCCAGTCTATGGAATAAATTGTAATACTTCCAATTTTATAAGTTAGAAAGCTTGCTAAGAAAATTTTTTTGCGAACTGATTCAATCTGTGAAATAACTTGAGATTATGCAAAGTTTTAAAGCTTTGAAATCTTGCTGAGAAAAAATGAAATTTTTTGGGAAATGATTTGGTGTACAAAAAAACTTGAAAAAAATCACAAAGTTTCATAGCTGAAATAGCTTGCTTAGAAAACTTTAACTTTTTCACAAACTGATTCGATTTTTGAAATAACTCGAAGTATTTCAAAATTTCTACTCTAGAAGCTTGCTCATAAAAGCTTCATTGTTTCGCAAACTGATTCAATCTAAGAAATATCTTGAAATATTTTAATATTAAATAGCTTTAAATGTTGCTTAGAAAAGTTTAAAATTTTTGCGAATCAATTCGATCTATGAAAAAATTGCAAAATTTCAACGTTTCATAGCTTGAAAAGTTGGCAAAAGAAAACTGAAATTTTTTGGGAACTGATTTGTGTAACATTCGGCCGGAGGTACATGTTCACATGCTTTTAACCGTCTCTACCCAAGCCAGCTCAATGTGTGGTCCATTACCATCGGGTTGACTATGTCGTTAGTATTTAAAGCTATCGGCCAGATCGCGCAAAAAACTTTGTTACATGCAAAAAAGTAAGCACATGGCTGAGGGCTCTTTTGCCTTTTCTCGCCCACCTGTAAACTTTTATATTCGAAGTTACTGTTCACTTTGTCCGATTGTAATTAAAATTGACAAGCAGACTAATGAGGCCATGACAAACAAATTTACGTGTTTAGTGGTCATAATTAACTTTGTAAAATAGACGATTAAATGAGTGAGGTGGGGGTGGGAAGGAAAAAGAGCCTGGCTGGGTCTCAGTACCCCCAGACTACAAGGTAACTACTCAAAACAGTGCAGCTACTCCTTATCATAATCCTTTTGATTTTGTTCGGTAGATAAAAATTATCATATCCATAGGAAATGGATCAAACCTTTCCATCAACTCCTAGCTCCTCATATTCCGAAAAATGAATTAGACGTTAATGGAAATCAGTTCAAGACATACCAGGAAGCTAAAAGTTGTTGAAAACCAATTTCAGTCTCTTCCAAGACCCTTCCGGATTATTGAATCCGGTCATCAAAGAGCGGTATTGGTGGGTCTAGGTGGAGTAGTATAATCCTCCCAATACCCCTTTGAATTCTGGGGAACTGCTCCATAACGATTGTAGCTGTACAATTGTTACAATTCGGATGGTCTCAATCGCAATTTGAATCTTCTCCACTATAGCTTGCACGTTTATTCTGCACTGTCGAGACTTGTTGTTGTTTTTTTTTTTAAGAAAAAATCAGTAATGTGATTTTCGCGCTTTTTCAGTAACCGCGAAATTTCAAGATCGTGACTTGTCTTTATTTTCAAACGAATTCGTGTAAATGAACAGTTAACACCGTAATTCCTTCAAAACAGACAATTTCCCCACTCAAATGTAACCAATAAAATTTCGTTGTTGCCATGCATTTTGGTCGCCATTCTGGTCGAACGTCACATCGGTCCAAGAACTAACTTGAAATCATTCAAAGTTTCATAGCTTTAAAAAGCTTGCTTAGGAAAACTGAAAATTTTCGCGAATTGATTTGGTCAGCATAATAATTTGATTTTCATTGCTTGATTAGCTTTCTTCAAAAAACTTAAAATTTTCGCGAGCCGATTCAGTCTATAAATTAATCAAAATCTGAAGATGCACAAAATGTGCGAAAACGTTTGTTTGAATTTACAATTTTAACGCATTCTATAAATTAACTTGTATCAATGCAAAATTTCATAGATATCAAAGATTGCTTAGAAAAATGTCAAATTTTCGCGAACCGATTTGTTCCACGAAATAAATCGCCACATTTATAGTTTTCACAGCTTGATTAGCTTGCTTCGAAAAAAATTCGCGAATGGATTCAGTTTCTGAAATAACTTGTAGTGTTTAAAAGTTTTATGGCTTGTATAGCTGGGTTCGAAAAACTTGAAGCTTTTCGCGAACTGATTCAAACTGTGAAATATCTTGAAATATTTCAATGTTTCATAGCTTTAAACCTTGCTTAGAAAAACTTAAACATTTTACGAGTCGATTCGGTCTACGAAATAACTTGAAAGAGTTCAAATTTTATTAGCTTGATTAGCTTGCTTAGAAACTCTCAAGCTTTATGCGTACTGATTCAGTTTATGGAATAACTTGAAGTATTTGAAAGTTGCATAGCTCTATTAGCTTGACTAGAGAAACTGAAATTTTTTTCGACCCGAGTCAGTCTTTGAGTCAACATCAATTTTTCGGGAGCCGATTCGTTCTGTAACCTTCAGTTTTTTAAACCGATTTACGGTATGGCTTAATTTGAAATTATTCGAAATTTCTTTGCTTGGATAGCTTGATCAGAACAATAGCTAATTTTTTGCGAGTCAATTGATTATTGGAGGCGGGCTTGCTATGCTAGTATGCGATGAAAGGACTCCTGACAGTAACTTCGGTTATTATGACACTTTTGACCTTCTGATTATTTTGAAACTTGTTGATTTCAGAGATGGACTTCCAAAATCGAGCTGGAGGAAAAACGGGGAGTGGAGGGGTAGCATCTACCTCTGAGACTAATCGAGACAGAAGAGAGCGTCTGAGGCAGTTAGCTTTAGAGACTATTGACTTGGCCAAGGATCCGTATTTTATGAAAAATCATTTGGGCTCTTACGAATGTAAATTATGCCTAACTCTACATAATAATGAAGGTAAGAAAATGAGTTTCGTCAATTGAATCCTAATACTTTTGTTTGAAGAAACTCCGTTGAGTTTATATTTGTTCCGACCAATGGAAATGGGGAGGAACTTTGTATTCGGGGTATGTTTCTCATTACTTTTCATGGTCCCGGTCTGCTGGTTGTATCCAATTATTGACAACCACTTATTTTTAAATGTTGATGTACACTTCTTTTTAAATATTTACCACTAACGCCACTTGTTTTTGCCTTTTTGGTTCAACTGGTGGGGAAGGCAGCGAATGTAAAATTTTCGTTAAAAAACTAGCATCTCTTTTGCCAGAAAAAGTTAAAGTGGACTATTCAAAAACAATCTCAATCATCAGATATAAGCTTTAAGTTTTGCTCGTTAAATCTGCGGTTAGATGATTAAGGGGAAGGAGGACCCTTTTTTCCACGAACGGTGCAGTATTCGATCCGGGTTTTAAAGCGTCTATGGCTGATCTGTAGTCTAGTGTTCCTTTTTTTCTTTTTGACGATGTTGTTGATGCGGAGTAAAAATGTCTGAGCGGCATTAAAAAATTCAGTGTTTTAAATTTTTAATTTTGTTTTCTATGCAAAATCAATGAGTCGAGTGATATATTATATTAAAATGTTTCAGTCGTGATTCGAACTACATTCTAATTTTTTTCCCAGTGTAGAGAAAAACCGGTTTGACATTTTAAAATTTTTGTTTATTTTCGAGCGAGTAAAGCGATCGAGCAACGTTCGATTCATGAAAATTGGTCCTTTACTGTCAGAAAAATGAAACAAAAACTAGTCTTTTTCAAACTTTGGTACTTTTAAGAAATCCAGTTTTGGCTGACCAACCCTAAAATTTTTCTAAAGGCGCCAATATATACCAAACTTAAGGGGGGAGCGCGCGCTTAAAAAACGCGATTTTTTGGTCAAAATTTTCCAAAAAGTACCTAAAAATTCCTTTTTTGGACTGTTTTTTTTTCTTAATTTTGCCTGCGGCGCAGAAAATTTGGCAAAAATAGAGACTAAACTCAAAAAATCAATTCGGTCGACCTAAAAAAAAGGTCGACAAAAATTTCGAAAATTTTTTGAAAATCCGCCTCCCCTTCGAGAAAATCTCAGATCCGCCCCTGATCTATTATATTTTAAATGCGGAATTCACCATCTCGTCATATTTAAAAGCTTTTTCAACGTATTATTTTTGCAAGTTTAACAACAGAATTTTTTCACGTTTAAGCTATATCGTACATTGCAATAGTTCAGATTTTTTTTTCGATTTTCCGGTTTAAATTTAGCGTTAATTTTACCAAGTTTGAAATTAGCAACCCAATATTGAGATGCTGTCAGAGCTTCCCCAGGTGTTGCGATTCCTCCATATATGAAGTAACCAAATCTTTTTAATTTACGAGATACGGCAATTTTCGAGATTTTTCAAAAATTTCTAGAAAACGTAATTTGAAAAAATTTCACAAAATATGAAACTCTCATCCCTGTAGTTGGGTTCTGTCAGGGTACTCTCAGGGTCGCGAATCTTGCCTCCAAATCTCACTTCTCAAATCATTGTAAAATTTTCAAAAACTTAGATTTAAAAAAATAAGATCTCAATCCTGTAGTTGGAAACTGAGGTTACTCTCAGGGGTTGAGACTCTTGCTTCTGAAGATGACTGCCCAATCCTTGTAGTTTAGACATATGACGTTTTTTGTGATTTTTTCATAAAAAAAATTCAGAAAACGTAAATTTAATTTTTTTTTCAAAATTGGAAATTCCCATGTCTGTAATGGGAACTGTCAGAGTACTTTCAGGGGTTGCGTATCTTGCCTCCAAATATGACCGCTCCAATCCTCGTAGTTTTCGAGATATGAGGTGTGTTATGATTTCTTTTTTATTTTTCAGAAGACTTGGGTTTTAAAAAATTCAAATGATTTGAAATTCTCAACCTTGTAGTTGGGTACTGTGAGGGTACTCTCAGGAGTTTTTGTTGCAGTTTTGCGTCCAAATGCGACTGCTCTAATGCTTTTTGTTTCCGAGATGTGACGTTTGTAGTGTTTTTCTTAATTGTTCAAAGAACTGATGTTCGCATCTCTGGCGATGTTTTATCAGGGTACTCTCAGGGGTTGCGAGTTTTTCCTTTAAGTATGACTGCTTAAATCCTTGCAGTTTTTGAGATATGACGTTTTAATGATTTTAAAAAATTCAGAAAACCTAAACTTTTTTCAAAATTTGTGGAATTTCTGACCCTGAAGTTCGGGGATGTCAGAGTACTCTCAGGGGTTGCGAATCTTGCCTCCAATTCTGAGTGCTCAATTTCTTGTAGTTTTCGGGATATGGCACTTCCCTTGGTTTTTCAAAAATAAAATTAGAAAACTTCAGTTTGAAATTTTTCATATCCTTGGGTTATGTTTGAGTACACTCAAAGGATGCAAATATTATTTCCAATATGTGCCGTTTTTAATGAGTTGTAATAAATTTTTGCACCTTTAAGTTATATCGTATATTGCAATGGTGAATGTTTTTTTTCAATTTTGCAATTTTAAATCAGTGTTTATTCCACCGAGTTTGAAGTTAGCAACCTAATAGTGGGATGCTGTCAGGGCTGGCAATTATGAATTTGTGTTATGATTTCTTTTTAATTTTTCAGAAGACTTGGATTTTAAAAAATTCAAATGATATGAAATTCTCAACCTTGTAGTTGGGTACTGTGAGGGTACTCTCAGTACTTTCATGTAGCAGTTTTGCGTCTAAATGCGACTGTTCAAATGCTCTTAGTTTCCGAGACGTGACGTTTGTTCAGTCCTTTTTTTCAAATGCTCAAAGAACTTCGATATGAAAAATTTCACAAAATTAAAGTTTTTGAAGGGACTACCGGGGGTTGCGAATTTCACCTCTAATTGTGACTGCTCAATTCCTTGTAGTTTTCGAGATATGACGGTTTTTGTGATTTTTTCAAAAAGTTTTCAGATAACTTAAATTTAAAATTATTTTTCAAAATTTGATATTTCTAACCGTGTAATTGGGGGCTGTTATAGTAGTCTCAGGGGTCACAAGTTCTATCTCCAAGTTTCACTTCTCATATCTTTGTAGTTTTCGAGAAACCACGTTTTTTATGGTTTTTCAAAAAATTTTAAGCTAAATTTTAATTTTTTTTTTGTAATTTGAAATTTCCAACGCTAAAGTTGAGTACTATGAGATTACTCTCAAGAGCTGCAAATCTAGCGTTCAAGTATTGCGACTGCTCAATTGCTTTTGTTTCCGATATGTGACATTTTAAATATAATTTTATAATTTATCAAAGAACTATGATATCAAAAATTTTCAGTAAGTTTTATGGTTTTTCAAAGTTTGAATAAAGAGAAACTTGAATATACAAAACATTACAAAATTTGAAATTGCCAACACCGTAATTGGGTGCTGCCAGAGTACACTCAAAGGATGCATATCTTATTTCCAATATATGCCTTTTTTTTGAATTTTCTGAAATTAGAAGCACCGGAGGTGCGTTACGCGCTATTTATTGTGGAAAAATAATGTCCGAATTTTTTTGGAAAACGTTTTTTTTTGTTTCCTTTTTATTTAATGAAGACAACTGTTGTCGGTTAAGCCTAGTTTATAACTTTCTACGTGTTAATATAATTGTCTTATCCTATTTTTTTGGTTGGTTTTTCATCAATGTCGTCGGAACATTCTGTGCTACTTGCACAGCAACCGGCTATCCTTGTTTATCTTTTTATTTTTTTCCTATGTTTTGAGGTCAATCATATTAATTAAGCCTCAATGAAACTGCGATCTCATATTTAAAAAAAATAAAAACGAAAATTGTTTTCTAATTTTGAAATCTTCCGACTGAATTAATCTGCGTATATTGCTTTGACTATGTTTTTGTTTGCTTGCATGGTTTCGACTGCATCATACAAGACTGTCCGGTTGCAGGAGCTTTAAAGTTGTTTTTACTTTTGTTCTTAATAACTGAAGCCAAGTCGTGCTAAAATATTACCCAGCTGTTTTGGTTTTTTCAGTGCCAGATCTTGTTGTGGTATCTTCATGGGAAGGGTGATTATCTTTTCACCGTTAAATTGATGTTGACTTAAATTGACTAGAACAAATTAAAATATATCATTCATTTTGACTTAAGAAATCGTTTGTTGAGTACTCTACCACTGTTTGTAATTTAGGAAGCTATCTAGCCCATACACAAGGTAAAAAGCATCAAGCGAATCTTGCTCGTCGAGCTGCGACTGAAGCAAAAGAAGCTGCAATCCAGCCGGCGCCAGAGAAACCAAGAGTGGACATCAAGAAGTTCGTGAAAATCGGAAGACCAGGATATCGTGTAACAAAACAATTAAACTCAGCAAACAAACAACAAAGTCTTCTTTTCCAAATTGATTACCCTGAAATTGGTATGTATCATTTTGGTCTGTTATTACATTATAAAATTTAGTTATTTAGAATTGCTTAACTTTTAAGCTGATGGAATTGTACCGCGTCACAGATTTATGTCGGCATACGAGCAACGCATTGAACCCCCAGACCGAAGATGGCAATATTTACTCTTTGCTGCGGAGCCATACGAAACTATATCATTCAAAGGTATTTAGCGTACTTGAATTTTAAGACTTAAATGCTGCTAGGTTGTTGATGGTTTGTTGTTGAACCAAAATTAATTTGAGTTAGCTTCCACGTTGAAGGGATTTAGATTAATAGGTTTTTTAACCATTTTCGAAAACAAGAAATTGCTTCGAAAGAAGTTTATTTCTGACTATCGCAAATGATGCGCAGCTTCGCCTTTGTTTAATTCGCCTGTTTTAACTGTTTCAGTACCGTCTCGAGAAGTCGAAAAAGGGAGCGACGACAAGTTTTTCACGGTATTCAACCCCGAAACAAAAACATTCTTCTTGCAGTTCTCTTTCAAGTTACAAGATAGATCGTTTCCGAAACAACAGCAATCAGGACCTGTGCATGCACCACAGTTGGGAGGGGGCGATAGGCTTCCAATGTACAGTGGACCTGGTGGACTACCTATGCCCCCTCCTCCTCCGCCTCATTTGGGCCCCTCTCTGACACCTGGTCCGATGCCGACACCAATTGGAACCCCGATGCTACCTCCTCCCCCACCACCTTCTGTTTAATTTGTTTTGAGAATGCTGTTTTTGTCTTGTCTTGTTTTGTTAAAAAATATATTTTAAAACAATTAGTTTTGAGCAGCAATTAACATCTAAGTAGTCATATTTCATAATCCGATAAAGCATTTAGTAGAGAAGTTTTCAATTGCTAGTAAGGCCTCGCTAAAAAATTTTCATTTGGATTCCCTGATTTGGTGTCGATCTGTCATAAAATACAAACCAGATTGCTTGCATATAAGAACAAGTCCCTAAATGTTTGACCGCCCTAGAAATTCGATGAAAAAGTTTTTGTTTAAAACAATTGATAAAAAATGAAGAAAAAGTTTTTAAAATCCATCCTTTCGTTATGCACAGTACAAATAGTTAATTTAGCGTCTCGTACTGTACAAAAGGGGCTAAATAATTTTACGAGCGCAATCGGTCCTCGAGTCAGGAAGATTTTAGGTCAATCGAAGATTTTAGGTACGCAATGGATCGGATAGTTGTGATTCGTTTAACTTCACTTATTTCTCGCAACAAATTGAGTTATCGATTAATTCTATGTAGAGGCTGTTACAATGAAATGATGAAATCTCGTTTTGCGCCGAAAAATTATGACCCTTCAAAAATGAGCAAAGCTGAGTTTTGGAGAGAACACGAGAAAAACAGGTTGCAGCGCCATAATGTAGCAAGAAACGAATTCATTACCGAAAAGCATGGTTTTATGCTCATTTACGCTATAATTGGCGTATCTGCTCTGTTTTCAATGTACTATTTCATATCGGATTTTTCGTTTGGCGACAAATCAGCTCTTCATTTCAAAGCAGCAAAGCGAATTGTTTATCAAAGTCCGATTGCTAAAAATGTTCTTGGGGAAGAGTTGTTTTGTTTTGGTGTCTATGGAAAAAGAAAGAGGAATCCGTACTATAAAATGCACCCATTGGACGCAACAGGTTCAAAGAAAATGTTAGAAATGAGATTTCACGCCGTGGGAGAAAAGGCGAGTGGACAAATTTATGCTGAAGCTTTGTGTGAAGGAATGGGAAATACATTGAACTTCCAAGCAGTTCGCCTGTGCACAAAAGAAGGCGAAGTTTGGGATTTGAAGAAGCCAACCAAAGTGCGAGATTTAACAAGACTTTATTGAAGTATTTACTGAATATGACTTAAGAATATAAATTTGAAGCCAAGAAACTTTCGCATCATTATATGGGCCTTACCGTTCTTGTTAATGAAGCAGAGTCGGCTGTGGTACCACAAACAAAATTTTCACATGGGGACAAGTTTATTTAGTAAAGCTTTTTCAGTTGTGACTGGGACGATTTAGTCCATTAAGAATATCATAGAAAGATGTCGATTGTCTACAGTTATCACTTGATCCGAGTTGTATATCGCTGGTTGTTCTAACTTTGAAAATGAGGAAAAACATTAATTTTTGCTTTCATGTTTTCCACAAAAATCAGGTGCCGCAAATAATCATCGCAATGGATCGAGGAGTATATCATCGTCAAATCCTTTTAATTGGTGGTTCAAACGATTTTTAAAAATTCCAAAAAGGCTCCAAAATTCAGTATTGAAAAAAAAAACCTGTTAAGAGTAATGAAAGTAGTTTTTTTTTCAGTAAAAAGTCAAAAAATATCGATGCACTTAGTATTAATGCCTTTTTTGAGTTCAATTGAAATTCATCAGCTGAAAGTGACGTAAATAACACTCAATTCAAATACAAACGTGGAAATGGCGCGAAAAAATGTTAACGATTTCTAGTTTCGAAAGTGGAATTACTTTTTTCTAATCTTCAATTGGCTATGTTTTGAAATTTTAGATGTTTGGTCTAATTTTGTGTCTAATTTCGAGTGAAAATTTCAAGCAAAGAAATATTTATTTTTTTTCAAGAAAATTTAGTTTTTCACGCGTCATATAGCGCTTCCTTGGCAATGAAAAGTTTTTAAAAACAATATTCAGCAAAAAAGAACGTTGTGCAGAATATTGTCATAAAAACCTTTTCAGTCGTAAATTTCTTTCGTAACGTAACAATAATTAAATTGTAATTAAGATTAATGAACGTAGTGAGTACTCTAATATAGGTCTTGGTGATTTTTGATTGTTTTTTTTTCAGGAAAAAGTCTATAAATTTGTTCACGCTCAATTTTGATTTTGATTTTTCGCGGTTTGATTTGTGATTTCTCAACTGCAGTGCATTTTCATTGTTAAAAGGAAAGCAATTCTACTATCGAACTGCAAAAGTGTAAAGTTCACGAAAAAGGTGATTGACTTCTGATTTCGAAAATGGAAATTATTTATCAGATCTCCCAGCTTCAATAGTTCTCTAATAGTTGATTTACACTCATCGCTCAATTTTTGAAATGGTTTACATATTTCGTTTCTTTGCAGCTATATGGTGTATATAGCGTATGCTTTTCTGAAAGTAATTTTTTAAGCGGATATTAATACCCTTCGATAATCAAGGGTATGCAATTGGGTACTAGTCTTTTTTCCTGGCAAATAAACTTGTTCTCAGAATAATCAATATTAGAAATGGTAAATTTAGGCTAAGATCATAATGAACTCATTTTTCAAAATGTGAAATATTCCGTTGCAAACAAATTTTTGTCCTATTGTTTCTCTGCTTATGTTTTGTCGGCTTAGTTGCCACGTCGTAGAATTTTTTGCTGTACGCAATTTATACTGTAGTCGCTTTCAGTGTGTTGATTTATTTCTGCTGTTTGTAATTTTATTACTCTTGAATTGTATGATATCTTTTTTTTGTTTTCGATTTTGCTTTTATTTTGATCTTAGTTTGTAGCAAACGTTCCTGTTGGCATTTATAGCCAATTGATCCTGTAGAAGGCGCAGATGTAAGATTTTCAAAAGTTCTTGAACATTTTGTCGACCTTTTTTTAGGTCGACCAAATTGATTTTCCGAGCATTCCCAGATTACTATAAATATTCTATTTTGACCGCAGAGAAATTTTTGAAAAAACGGGCGTTTGGGCACTTTGGAAAATTTTGACCAAAAACTTGCATTTTTTCGGCACGCGCTCCCGTTCAAAATTGCGCTCCCATTCGCGTTTTGAAAAGTTTTAGGATTGGTCGGCCAAAACATACCAGACGCGGGACCCTTTAGTTGGTGAGAGGGTCAAATCTGTCCTGTAGCATATGCAGGTTTTGGTTGCAAGATTTAAGGAAAGTTTTCGTGTACGTTTAGAAACTTTTGGAACTCGATATTTTTTTAACAAAATTTTCTTTTCTGAGCGTTTTGATCTATTGCTTCAAAGAAATGAATGCAATTTGTGTAACCGAAATCCTTCTTATCTTTTAGGTAATTGGTTTTTATAATAATTGCAATAATATTTTTCGAATTTTTTAGCCTGCGATTTTCAACAATTCATTCAAGTTTTTCACTTTTCATTTGAGACACATTATCTTTTGATTATGGCATTTTATTTTGTATCGCAGGTGGTGCGAAGCTCAGCTTTGTCTCTGTGTTTTAAGTTTTGTGCGGATTCGTTTAGACGCTGTTTTGAAAGTTGATATGATTCATGCTTTGTCGAGTCAATGGCAGAAGTCCTAGTCGGCAGCCAATCGACTGTTTTTTTTTGCACGAAAATTGGGACGGCACACAGGATCTAGGCCATTTTTTTGCTGATTGCCTGCTCTCCATTTATGATTCTCGGCTGGTCAATATTTGTTCACCAACATTGTCTCGTCCGAGATTCGACCCGTATTCATTAGTGTTCAGCTGTCTTATCTCCTGCGCTTTAAGCGCTGATAGGAAAAATTGTATATTGACCGTTTCTGACTCTTGGCAGCACCATCAGAAGCAAGATTGATAGTTTTTTTCAGTTGACATGTGCATCATTTTTGCCGCCATGTTCGATCCCCAGGTTTGATTGTCGGATTGTTCCGATCGATCGGAGGTTGTGGGAGAGCAAAGAAAAGAGGCGGGAGAGATGTTGTTCTTCTTTGTTCAGTCGGTGGTGTTTGAGCTGAAGAGTCTGTTCTACACGAGTTACTACACCTACTACAACCCAGCCGACTGCTTCCTAGACCCCTTCTTCAACTTCTTCGGACGCATCATAGGCGCACTCGGATATGTGAGTGTGGGGAGTTAATGGAATGGGTAATAAAATATGGGGAGTATTGTGGGTACAGGTGTAAAGGAGGTGTACCTGAAAGGAGGTGTTATGGTCCTGAATCTGTATATCATCATATGGCTTTTCTACGTGTCATAGATGTAACCATAACAATGGTGGCCAGTCAATAAGCAGAATGGGTCGAGCAGAAAAACAGAAAAATATCAACTTCTATAAGGTAATCGGTAAAATAATTATCAGAAATGTCAATAATAGCAAAGCAACGAACATTTTATGCATAATTTGAGCAATTTAATCAAGAATTTTTAAAAAAAGTCTAATAAAAAACTTAATGAAATTAGTCAATTCATGCATAATTTATTCGTTTTCTTGGTATTTTTTAACGATTATAATAATTTTTTTTATCAATTAGCCCATATAAACCAATTTAAGTCAATATTTTTCTGTTTTTCTGCTCTTGGACCCATTCTGCACTTGGACCATTCTGCTTATTGCTCCGCCTCCCAGCACAATTGATCCAAGATGTAAAAATGACGCACAACATGGGCGGAATTGATGCTTGTACTTCGTTTTGTTGAGTCATTTAACCTTGACTCTACCAAATTAATATTTACCGTATCCTAGAAAAGATATATATCGTTGAATTTTCTTAGTTTTGTCGGGTTTATTAAAAATGGGTGCTAAGTAAAAAGGACAAGACATTAAGCGGACAAATGCAGTTACAACATGTAAGTTAAACTGTTGGAATTTTCTGAAATAGAATTGGAGAATTTGTGTGCAGCGCAGTCTTAAAGTCCCACCAAATATAACTATCATAAAATCGAAGAGGAAACTATGACGAGACAGAAATTGACCGAGCGGTTAAAAATTCACAACTGTTCGCGCGTCACGCCGAATTAAATTCCGACAACACAAAGAAGTGTTGATTTAAAGCGAGCTTAATTGAAACTCGAAATAATGCCTGTAATTTTGTGTGATTTCGACCGCTATTTCAAATAAAATATGCAATTCGAATAGCGCTTATGTGCTTTTGATCAATGTGAACTACGTTAGTAGTTGCATTCTATTGCACTTAACGTATAAATGCCTGTCAATACACAGCGTTGAACGCTTAAAAGAACAATGCCATTAAGTATTGGCCGTTTTCTGACATATTTTTTCTTTTGTCTTTATGTATCTTTATGCATTCTGTAGTTTGTGGAGATAAGTGAGCATTTCGGAGCAACTTAAAGGCTAGAGCCTGAACTGCTCCGAGGAAGGTCTGGGATACTTAGCATGCAATCCGAGAAGGATTTACCTGTAAGCGGTGGGGTGTAAATAGAGACGACCCTGCAACTGCCATGAATGACACATGAGGACTTTCAGTTTAGGTCTGATGTCTTGGCTGAGGGTTAGGTTGGAAGGTGCGCCTAGCTGGAGTGTTAAGTCGGATGTGCTCGGTGTTATCGACGGTAACACAACGCGATCCAGACTACTCTGTCTCCACATAAAAATAATTTTCGCCTTGGTTTTTTAAAAATTGGTTTTTTAAAAGGAAGGTCTGGGATACTTAGCATGCAATCCGAGAAGGATTTACCTGTAAGCGGTGGGGTGTAAATAGAGACGACCCTGCCACTGCCATGAATGACACATGAGGACTTTCAGTTTAGGTCTGATGTCTTGGCTGAGGGTTAGGTTGGAAGGTGCGCCTAGCTGGAGTGTTAAGTCGGATGTGCTCGGTGTTATCGACGGTAACACAACGCGATCCAGACTACTCTGTCTCCACATAAAAATAATTTTCGCCTTGGTTTTTTAAAAATTTTTCAATTCATCTAGTCGTTATTTCACGTCTTTTTTCGATGCATCATTTCGCCTGTGTTCAAAATTACTGTTTGATTTATTGCTGCAGCATAGATCACGAAAGGCCAAACATTGTTAGTAGGTAAATATCTAGGATCTCTCTAACTAGCACAAAGGTGAAGTTAGATAAATAAATCAAAGGTTAAGCATATCCCCCTTGAAGCATATCCCTTTGAAATAAATAAATCAACGGTTAAGCATATCAGAATTTGATACTTAGTAACGAATATCCCCCCTTTTGCCAAAGGGGATATAGTTCAAGAGATTCCAATTTTGTAACAATTGATTACTCTTAATTTTTCGGTCAAGCTTATTTGATTTAGCCTCGTTTCTGCAGTTCGAACTTGTTCTCAGCTTTTCTTAGATTAAAGATTCGAAGATATGTCGGCTCTAAACAAAGGAAGTCCAATGTTCGTTTATGTCGACATTAAAAAACAATATTATAACATGACTTATGTATGTTAAATGTGTACTGCAGGCCTTTGTGCTGGTTGGAGTGAGCATCCTCTCCTTCGAGATATGTCTGCACTATGTCATCTACCTCCCTCTCGTCCTCCGCACCCTGGATCCCTTCCAGATCCTGTTCCACATCATAGTCGGACACTGGATTCTGGCCAATGTCTCCTTCAACTACTTCAAGTGTTTGACCACGAATCCAGGCTCACCGCCGAATGACTCAAGGGCAGCCAAGCAGATCATTGGAGTGTGCAAACGATGCATAGGTATGCCAAATTCGTGTTAGATTTGTGTAATATTTATACTGGGAGGCTTTGGTAGATTTATTTTATTTTGAAAAGATATGCAATATTTGGAATCCTCTGAATAACATCCTCTGCGTTACGTCATTGTTCTATAACCACATTTTCAAAAATAGTAGCATGAAAAAACGATCAATTGGAATCCAGAGCCCCCCCCCCCCCCGCCTTAGAGTCCAGCACTGTACGTAAAACGCTAGACTCCGGCCTTAATACTAAATGCACACTGAAATCCTGGCTAACCCCGCGCTTAAAGATCGGATCAATTTTAAACGGCTTATGAGGTTAACTTGGTTCCAGTTTGAAATTTTTATTTTTAACCTATTGGAATCGAGCATCTTACATCAAGCGCAAAGCTCACTGAATCCAACTTTAATACCGGGGCGAAAGAGCTTTACTTTTTTTAGGGAGGGAGGTGGGGGGGGGGGTAGTTTTTTTACATTTGGTTCTAAAGATCTGCATCTACTTACCGAAAAAGGATGATGGATATACAGTGATTGAATCTGCGTACTATTTTGCATGACTGTTTAAAGTGATGATGACTGTAGGTCCGAAACCCCCTCGTGCCCACCACTGTTCTGTGTGTAAGAAGTGTGTGTTGAGGATGGACCACCACTGTCCCTGGATTAACAACTGTGTGGGCCACTTCAACCACAAATTCTTCTTCTCCTTCCTCGTCTATCTCATCATAGGTGCACTCTACCTCGTAGCCACTGCACACTTCTACTTTAACATCCAGTTCCGATTCACAAAGGTGACTAACTTACTTCATTCATGATCTTCACATTAAACAAGATTGTGTTCTGAACGGTTATCATTGCAGATTTGCTACTTAACAGCTAGTTGATCTACTCGGTGCCCAAAGGGTTTTTCGTTTATTCATAATGGCAGACATGCGTATTTTGGTGTACAAAGATGATTGTTTAAAGAGTGCAAAAAGCATTGATTTTAACAATGCAGAGCGGATTTAAATCCGCCAATGAATTGCCCGAAAACGCGCGGATCTTGGAGTTTCTCCAGGGAGAAGGGGGAATTTCAAAAATCAAAAGTCTTTTTATTTCAGGTCGGTCCAATTGTTTTTTTTGAGCTCTCTCAAAACAATATAAAGACCACATTTTGTCGACATTTTCTCCGCCGCAGGCGAAAAAAATTGAAAGTTTAACCAAAAATTGTGTAGCCCTCGCCTACCCCTCAAAGGCTCCTTTACAAAAAAATATTAGGGTCGGTCAGCATAAAACGATCCCGTAAAACAGTATCGAAAGGGGGACTGTCTAAGTGGACAGGGTGTCAAAATCGAATCCTTGTCCACCCTTGAATCAGCTACTGCAGCGCTGTAAGTTGCTGTGTTGTTACCACATATAGCAAAAGATGGCCTGTAAGAAAAACTCAAAATAAATACTGCTGCTGCAATTAAAAGTTCGTATTTAACTCCCGAAAAAGTTCGGATTTAAAAGAATTGATAAAACAGATGAAAGCGAAGGCTCCAAAAATTTTGGAGCCTTCGCTTTCATCTGTTTTATCATTTCTTTTAACATTAAGCAAAACATCGATCGATATTTTTCTACATATATTTTGGACCAAAATATATGTCGAAAAATATCGATCGATGTTTTTCTTGATGCTCTTAGTGAGGAGTTTGCTTCAAGTTAACCTGATCAATACTGGAATTTGTGGCCTTTGACGGTAAACTTTGAACGCTAATTACAGCGCTTGAATACGCTTTTCTCCAGTGAATTCATAATTGTAATTCAAACCAGATTTTTTCACAGCCGCAACGTTGCTTAACGTGGTTTCTATGATTATCCACCATATATATATTTGTGGGCAAACTTTGGATCTTGTTAACTATCCCCCCCCCCATTGCAATAGGGGGGGGGGGGGGCGTAGTTAACAAGATCCCAACTTTTTTTCAAGAAAGAGTCTTTAGATTTGCTTTTGAGAGCTCAAAAAAACAAAAGGTCGATAAAATCATAGATACAACCTCTCCGACTTGTTACATGGTCTTAAGTGCTCCCAGCCACATATGATAGAACAGCCACTACAAAATCATGACCATGGGGAAGCTTTAGGCTCGCCATTAAAAGCTTGTTATTCCGACCATTGAAAATTATGATCACAAATCATGATCGATACCACAAATAATGATCGGACTGGGTTGAGTGATATATCATATTAAAAGCCTTTCAATCGTCGAACCACTTTAAAAATTCCAAAATTTTTTCTTGTGTCGAGAAAAACCGGTTTGAAGTCTTTGATTTTTTGTCTTATAAAATTTTTTTGTCCAATTTGCCTAGATTACTATGACTGTCTAATATGCCTAAATTATATTTTTACATCAGATCCTTTCATCACACCAAGCAGTAAAAACTACCTCAATTTTTTTAAACTAGTTTTCTTTTCTAAACTAATTTTTTTTTCTAAATTAGTTTACTTAAAGATTCTGGTCGGAATAATGGTACTTGCACAGTAACCGGCTATCCTTGTTCTCATTTTTTGATAGTTGTATCAACCATTTGGAAAAGAGGGAGGAACTTTGTATTCGCGTGTGTTTTAGTTTTTTTTGTTTTCCACACAAAATCAGGTACCACAAATAATCATCGGAATAGGTCGATTGATGTATCCTATTAAAGCCCTTTCAGTCGAGATACGAACATTAAAAATTGTTTAAAACTTGGCCCAGTATCAAGAAAAACAGCTTTAGAGCGAGTAAAGCGAGCGAGCAGAGTAACAATAACATTTTTCAATAGCTTTATAGCTTACAATAGCCTAATTTAACATGGTTTTACTCGAGTAGAAAATTTTTTTTGAGTTTTTAGCGCTTTTTTGGAATCAAAAACTTCAAAATTCAAGAAACTGCGAAAACAAAATTGACTGTAGAATTTTGCTAAGCTCTGGTTTTTCGTTCAGATGCTTTTATCGCACCAAGCAGAAAAAATGAAACTAATTTGAAAAAAACTTGTATTTTTTAAATCTATGGTCAGAACATTCTGTGCTAATTGCACTGTAACCTGCTATCCTTGTTATTTTTGGGATCTCTTTTACTATTTCTCACCCTTAAGGAAATATTTCACTGATTAAGATTTTGTGAATGTTTTACCTTTTAACGAAACTCGTCACCACCCCCCCCCCCCCCCCCCCGCCCCCCTTCGCAAAAGGGGGATAGTCAGAGATCACTAAAAAAAGTTCACTAAACCAAGGCTTTAAAAATGTGACCATCTCATTGGTTTGTATTTTTGATAAGATGGTTTCCTTGCGGTGTTGTTTAAGTAAAAAATCAAGATAGTCTTTCTAGCCGCCAGTTTTCGTCATCATGTACATGGACGCTCTTCCAACTCAAAAGAGACTGTCGGCCCATTTTGACAAAGAACACGAAAATATTGGCAGAACTGTAGTAAGCACAACATTGTCTATTGAAAACGATAATAGCTCCCTTCTTTACTTTTTCTGTTTGTACATTCTATCTTTTGGGTGTTCATGAAATGATGCAGGGGTGTTGTGATATTGTGTGATCGATATAGAGAGATCAGTTTTGATACCTGTGAAATTTGGGACAAATGTCATGACTTCGAACTTGGAGCGAATGATGAGGGCGTATAGCTAGGATTTCATAAACTAGATAATTTATCATAGATTTAATTGTGGTTTCTGCGATTTGCAGTGATTCTAGGGAAAGCTATCCAGCCTGTCTAAGCATAGTCCGTTTCTTTTATTATTTTGTTAGTTTGATGGTTTTGGTAGGAAGTTGTTGTGTGATCTAGTTGTTTGCATGCAGTGATGTAACACTGATATTTGAGGTAAATAGGACAGGCAATCATACCACCAAGATAGCGACCAGTTGGTTGGGTTAGAAAACAATTTCAGTACTGATAATTATGTTTTTGACATACCAACATAAACGGGACCCTGCACAAGCCTTACGTGCATCAGAAGACATTAAAGTGACATCGTTGTAAATATACAGGTAGTCTAAGGAACAATCCGACACGGGGGACCAGCCTATTAGCATCTGTGTCGATTAGCATGCTCATGTAAAGGCATGTAGTTCGAAGAATCGCTATTTCAGTTTTTGTATAATCAAATTTGCATATTTTATTAGCGTGCAATTGAAATGTTCATTTCCTTAACAAATCTAGTGGTTTTTGAAACTATCTGAAAATTCAGGCTAATTTGTTTTTCATCTGGATGCACACCCAATTTAAACAATTATCGCATGCTAATAAGCACACATGCTAATTGCTACACCCTCATCCGACACGCTGTTCTTGTTTGTACGGTTTTTGTTGAAATATTTCAGTTTTTAGCAAAAACGTTTTCAGAAACTTTGGTCTTTTCGGTACATCGTTACCTGAAAAGGTGGTATTTTTCCCGTTCCTTTTTTTCTCCAGATTGTGGTTAATGAGCATAGGTTAATATGAGCATAGGAAAAAAAACAGAATGAAGTATAGGCATGATGTATTGATGTTTACCTGATTATTCAGAGGAGCCTAGAAATGTCCATTATCGAAATGACTTATGGCGTCAATTAAAGTGGACAGTGTTTATTTCTTAAAATAAATATTGGAGATAACTAAAATGATTGAATAATTAGTATAATGAGAATTGACTCAATATTTCGAATCTCTGATCATTTTGCGACAGAGAAGATGCGAACTGGCGCACGGATACCTTATTGTGATAGAAAAAAAAACGATAGTCCTACTCTTCTCAAAGTTACAGCTTGCGAACGCTACGATCTCCTGCCTTGTTCCATTTTTGTCAGTTTATTAACTTGGTTGATGCCATTTTTTTCGAAATACGGTCGCTTGTAGGCTTAGTTGACTAATTTGAGACCAAGTGATTATCCATAGTTACTTTAATTACCGGCGTCACTATTCTTTTTTATCCTTATTCTGAACAACCATATCAACCATACTATAACCAGGAAAACAATCTAGAACAAAAAAATTGACAGAGTCAAGGTCGAAATTATGAAGGAGGACGCAACTGTTTTCGCTCAAAGTTCCTTTTGCTCTCAAACCTCATTGAATGATGCAATAACACCAGAATAAACTAGTTCATCATAAATGTTATTTCCGACCATTGAGGTTCTTAATTGCAGGCCCTTCGTATCTTCCGTCGTCGGGAGCTGCTGTCACATGACTGGTACCACTCGGCCATCTCTCTCCACTTCGGGCTGGCCTTCATCTCTCTCCTCCCAGTGGGGTTCCTGTTTCTCCAGCAGGCCAAACTGCTCTTCTTTGGGGAGACAGTAATAGAACAGTACACTAACATCAGAGATAGACAGAGGTGCAAGGAACAGAAAATCGTAAGTACCTATTCAGTTGCATTCGATCGGTCGATTCAGTCAATGGGTTCCTTCCTTTTTTGGATCCGAGGGTGCCAAGTGCTGCCGCGATTTAACTCCATTGTGTCACTGAAGAATTAATGAACCAATGATTACGCGAGTGCTTATATAAACATAATTGTATCTTTTTAGATAGTAGATTGTGTCTTGCTAAACCTGAGGATTTGTTGTTTAAAAAAGCAAATTCTTTCTTTTGTCCCTCACTTTTTTTGTGGATTACGGCTGAGGGTGCGAAAAAAAAATGTTTTTTTTTTATGATTGATATTTCAGCAATTTCGCAATATTTATGACTACGGCTGGAGGAACAACATTTTCCTAATGTACGGGGTCACTCAGGCAGAATATGAGAAGGACTGGTCATTCCTCAGGGTATTTCTGCTCCCAAACAGTCGAAATCCCATCGGGGACGGACTCTCCTGGTTCCCTCCAGACTCTCCTCTGGCTAAACGGAGTTGCCCTCCAAAAAATAGTATTATGTCACAACATTCCATATCCAGGGTATCTGAACAGAATTCACAGATGGCGCAAGTTGTTGTCATGTAAAATTTTCGCCCTTGTACCAATTTGAGAAACAGGTGTCCTGAATTTCCACAATCGCGGGAGGAAGGTGTTCAAGTTGTTAGTGAGTAACTGTTTTTGTTTGTTTTTCTTTCTCTGCCCGTTCTAATAAAATTTATAAGAGAATCAATTTCAGGTTTTGCCCGCGATTGTTGAAATTCACCCGATGTGCTTATTTATAAATTTCTAACGCCGTCTGCCAACTTCTTTGTTTCGTCTTCATGCGGTCATATATGTATGTTTTGACTAATTCCTTTTTGTTTATCGCGACAATTATTCTTATATATTGAAATTAGATTTTTTAGTTGAATAAAACTTTGATAGCAGTCTCTGAGTTGCTTATTTATCGTGCGAAAGCAATTTGTGTTTCGCGTGACAGTAAAGTTTGCAATGAGGCTGAGACAATGAAGATGCTCGAATTTTTTCAAACGATTTCGTTAAACGGATTTTAAAATGTTTTTAAATTGCTCATAATTAAAACCTTTTTCTGCGTCGTTGATCCAGTATTAATGGAACCCGTGCAAAACTAATGTCATTAGTTACATCGAAATAAAATTTCCTGCGGCAAAAAAACGTATGGATTTTGTTTTTACACAGATAGTTTGGATAAATTTTGTAGGATGTCCTTCAGAAATGTTAAGAAAACAAAAATTTCAACAACACGCTTTTGCTTTGGTCGAAAATTATGAAGAGGTCGATCTCAATTTCGAAGAATCAACTCGAGACTAACTGTAAAAGTATTGTGGGCATTGATTGCCGGCATACATAACTGGCACTATTTTGCAGGCAAGTGACATATTAAAGTGACATCGTCGTAAATATACAGGTAGTCTAAGGAACAATCCGACACGGGGACCAGCCTATTAGCATGTGTGTCGATTAGCATGCCCATGTAAAGCCATGTAGGTTGAAGAATCGCTATTTCAATTTTGTATAATCAAATTTGCAAATTTCATTAGCGTGCAATTGAAATGTTCATTTCCTTAACAAATCTAGTGGTTTTTGAAACTATCTGAAAATTTAGGCTAGTTTGTTTTTGATCTGGATGAACACCCAATTCAAACAATTATCGCATGCTAATAGGCACACATGCTAATTGCTTTACCCTCATCTGACACTACCCTTCGTGCTGCTGTTTGCACGGTTTTTGGTCGAAATTTTTCAGTTTTTAGCAAAAAAGTTTTCATAAACTTTGCTCTTTTCGGTACATCGTTACCTGAAAAGGTGGCATTTTTCCCGTTCCAGTTTTTTTCCAGTGGTTCATGAGCATAGGTAAATTGCTCGGAATAGAAACAGAATAAAGTATAGTCACGATGTATTGATGTTAACCTGATCATTCAGAGGAGCCTAGAAGTTTCCATTATCGAAATGACTAATGGCGTCAATTAAAGTGTACAGTGTTTTTTTCTTAAAATAAATATTGGAGTTGATTAAAACAATTGAATATTTAGTATAATGAGAATTGACTCAATCTTTCGATTCTCTGATCATTTTGCAACGGTAGTGTTAGCTGCCTACTCACGCAACGGTTTTCTCTCAAAGTTCCTTTGCTCTCAAAACTCATTGAATGATGCAATAATACCAGAATAAACTAGTTCATCATAAATGTTATTTCCGACCATTGAGGTTCTTAATTGCAGGCGCTTCGTATCTCCCGTCGTCGGGGGCTGTTGTATCGTGACTTGTACCACTCGGCCATCTCTCCACTTCGGGCTGGCTTTCATCTCTCCTCCCAGTGGGGTTCCTGTTTCTCCAGCAGGCCAAACTGCTCTTCTTTGGGGAGACAGTAATAGAACAGTACACTAACATCAGAGATAGACAGAGGTGCAAGGAACAGAAAATCGTAAGTACCTATTCAGTTGCATTCGATCGGCCGATTCAGTCAATGGGTTCCTTCCTTTTTTGGATCCGAGTGTGCCAAATGTTGCCGCGATTAAACTCCATTGTGTCACTGAAGAAATAATGAACCAATGATAACACGAGTGTTTATACAAACATAATTATATCGTTAGATCATGGAGTGTATCTTGGCAAACCTGAGGATTTGTTGTTTAAAATAAATAAACCACTGATTAAAACACCAGAGAAACTGTGCTCGAGCAATTGTTCATGTTTGTATACCTCATCTAAAATGAAGCCTCAAGAGCGCAGCAAAAAAGCAGTTTTAAGCTTAAACCAACATTAAACAAAAAGCCACTCGGGCAAAGCAAGTGATTCAAAAAAGAACGTACGCCAATACTAGAAGAGGAGAGAACTAACAGTCCTGAGGCTGATGAGATGCTCCAGGAGGACGACTGATGCAACAGACTGCACACAAAACAAGCTACGCACATCACGGGTAATATCACCTGCGTCAGTGGTCTATTCAGCATTGAACATTTTAAGACTTGAAATTAAACAACTGAACACAACACAAAACAAATTGTGTGCGAGCGCATGCACGTTATGCCTACCCCTCTTTGCTAAAATGAAGCCTCAAGACTACAGCAAAAAATCAATCTTAACCTTAAAACCAAATGAAACAAAAACTTTTCTGGCTAAGCAAGCAACGCAAAAAATAACCTAACCCGTTCCAGGGGAGGGGAAAACATACTCACGTGAGGCTGAAGATACGTTCAACAAGGATGACTGCTGAATCAGACAGCACATAGAACCAGCTCATCACAGCGAGGATAATTTTAACTGCGCCAGTGGGCTAAACAGTATAAGAAATAATAATGCATCAAAAAAAATCAGTGAACACAGCACAAGATATATTGTGCGCGAACAAATGCACATTATGCCTTCCCTCTCAGCTAAATTGAAACCCAAAGAGCGCAGCAAAAAAAGCATTCTCAAACTGAAACTCTAACTTTAAAGATAAATTTCTTAACTAGGATTGCTTTTGTTTACGCTTGCTATTAACAAGCGTTATCAAACTGGAATATAGACTTTTTTCTAGTTAACATTTAGTTTGACAAAGTCGGTTGAATCACTTGCTGGCTATGCAGCTAACTTTTTTCACCACTGTTCTCAACATCCTCCAGGTTACCTCCTCCTTGGCCTGGAAGTAAATCAGTTGCCTTTGTACCCTAAGGTCTTGGTTCGAGTCGTAGCCTTGTTTTTTTTTCAGTAACAAGGAAATTGAAAAAAATTTCCGAGAAAAATGAATTGTTGGGTTTTCATTTGTTCGATCAAGTTTTATCGGCTACATTGTCACAACGGATTTTGTATGTGCTGTAGACAATTTTTATCGTAGTTGCAAGTGCAAGTGTTGTCCATTCTAATTTCAGAGCGGAACTTAAAAGGTTTTTTTTAAAAAAATTTCCCGAATTTTTTTTTTCGGTTCAGTTGTTGTCTGCTCAAAGATTGTGGGCTTAGTTGCCACATAAATTTTTTTTTCTGTAAGCAACTTTCATTGTGGTCGCAAGCGCATGTGCTGCTTATTCTAATTTCAATGGGGACTGGAATGAACACCTATCGAGAAATATGAAAGTTTATGTGACCTTTTTTTTTCAAAAGTTCTTTCGGCTTTAAATATTATCTTTGAAAATAACAGACAATTGAATTTTTAAACAGCAACAACGGAGCAACATTTACGAAAAGAAACAAAGCCGAAAATTTTTGAGCATACACAAATTGAGTCGGAAAAAATATGATTTTATAAATAGGAAGTTTAAAGTACCACCTTGAACAATAATGGACAACACTTGCACTTGAAACTACAATGATTTTTGATTACCGCACACTAAAAATCAGTGATGTGGCAACTAAGCCAACAATCTTTGAGCTTAAATCACTTGAACCGGAAAACTATTTTACAAAAAGAAGTTTAAAGTCCCACCTTAAACAACAATGAACAAATTGCCACAACCGATTTTGCTCATGCTGTAGATAATTTTCATTGTAAATGCAAGTGCAAGTGTTGTTCTTTCTAGTTTCAAGGTGGACTTGAAAATTTTTTAAAAAATCAAAAAATCATTTTTTGGTTCAAGTGGTTTTAGCTCAAAGATTGTTGGCGTAGTTGCCACAATCCAATCACTGACTTATCTTGTGCTATTAAAAACTTTCCTTGCATTTGCAAGTGCAAGTTTTGTTCATTCTAGTTTCAAAGGAGACTTGAAAGATTTTTTAAAAAATCAAAAAAAAAATTTTTTTTTTCCAAGTGTTGGCTTCAACTGTTGGCTCGAAGATTGTTGGCTTAGTTGCCACAATCACAAAATCGCTTAAAATGAAGCCTCAAGAGAGCAGCAAAAAGCCTTCTTAACCTTAAACCCACATTAAACAAAAAACTACTCGGGCTAAGCAAACAACGCAAAAACGAATCTAAGCCAATACTAGGGGAGGAGAGAGCTTACACTCCTGAGGCTGATGAGATGCTCCAGGATAACGACTGCTGCATCATACATCACATACAGATCAAGCTACCTACAGCATGAACGTTTTCAACTGCGCTACGGGCTTAAATGTCTTTAAAAATTGAAAATTATCAAAATAAACCAACAAACACCTTTCTTGACAAACTGTGCGCAAGCAAATGAATTTTTTGTCTACTCCCTTAGCTTAATGGAGGCGTCAAGAGCGCAGCAAAACAGAAAAAAAAACCTTCAAATCAAACTAACCAAAAAGCCACTTGGCATGAGCAAGCAACGCAAAGCCAGCACTAGGGGAGGGTAAACATACACAGCTGAGGCTGAAGAAATGCTGCAGGAGGGCAACTGATGTATCGGACAGCACACACAGAACCAGCTACGCAGAGCAAGGATTTTTTCAACTGCACCAGTTGCCTAAACAGCATTAAAAGAAGCTTCAAGACTGCAGCAAAAAGCAATCTTAACCTTAAAACGAAACAAAACAAAACTTCTCACTCTGGCTAAGCCAACAACGCGAAAAAGAACCTAAACTAGCTTTAGGGTAGGGAAAAACATACACAACTGAGATTGAAGAGATGCTCTAGGAGGACGATTGCTGCATCAGATAGAATACACAGAACCAGCTACGCACAGCGAGGACATTTTCAACTGCGCCAGTCGCCTAAACAGCATTAAAAAGCTAAAACCCATTAAAATAAGCCCTGAACACAACGCAAAAGAAACCGTGCGCGAACAGATGCACATTATGCTTATCTCTCAGCTAAATTGATGCCTCAAGAGCACATCAAAATAGAAACCGTCAACTAAAATCCAAATTTAACTAAAGGCCATTTGGGCTAAGCAAGCAATGGAAAAAACAGCCTAACTCAGTGCTAGGGGAGGGGCAATTATACACAGCTGAGGCTAAAAATTCGCTCCAAAGGGTGACTGCTGCTTATTTTTACATTTTCACATGGAATTATATGCCAAAACTGTAACTTTTGGTATATGGCTAGATAATTTTTGGTTTCAAAGTTTTGGTAGTTGAGAAAATTTTTTTTATCTTAGCTAATGAAAAAAATAGTAATAATCGTGTTTACAAAAAAAAACACTTTTTTGTGATTTTTTAAATTTTTTGGGTGAAAAACTCATTCTGAACCAAGTTATAAACACAGAAAGTCAAATTTTGCATGCAAAATTTTTTTTTCGCAAAAGTTTTTATTTTAGCACAAAAGCAAGTTTGCAACCAAAAAAGGGATTTAAAATTTTTTACCTCAAATTTGTGTTTTTGCTTATGAAAAAATGCATATCATACATTTTTTATATATGAAAATTATATGATAAGCATTTTTTGACCAAAATTAAAATAATATTTTTGAGAGTCAAAATGCATTCTTTCAATAAAAAATTTTTAAACTCATGTAAATTCATCCAGAAACATCGTTAAAAAAATTTTGAATATTTTATTTTTACTTTTTTTGAAAACATTATGATAAGCATTTTTTTCAACAAAAATAAAAACATGTTTTTATTGAGCAAAAAGTTTCAAAAGACGGAAATAGAACAGAATTATTTCTCTAAAAACGTTTAATACAGTTTTAAAACTTTGTATGAAAATTGTATGATACACCTTTTTTCCATAGTCGCCATATATGAAATTGTATAATAAGCGTTTTTTTTTATAGACGTCAACCCGGGGATCTCAAAAAGATTGTATGTGCAGGTTTAATTTGCAAATTTTTGACACGTAGATGCTATAAGCCTCGCCATATGTCTATAACCATTTTGATTCAGTTGGTAATGTTCGTTTGGCAAAAAGTTTTCGAATTGCCTGTCTGAGGCAATGGTTGCCATAACAGTTTTTTGCAGCTCTACGTTGAGTAGAGATACCATATTCTCGATCTTCCCTGTTTTTTTTGGACAGCTGCATTTCATGATTGAGGCGAGGCTAGAGGGCACAGATCCTAAGCCGCACTTGGTCATGGAGACCATCGGCGAATTGCCAGAAGTTGGATAGGGTTTGAGAGCACAGTGTAGAATATAGGTCGTTGTTACCCACAATAAGTAGGATTTCCTGGAATTTATATACCAGAGGGATTAGGAACTCACAAAGTTCACTAGAATTTTAACGAAATTACAAATAAACTCTTTATTCTAAAAAAAAGCTAAAAAGACAAAATCGAAAACTTTTTGCATGTTTACTTAGTTTCAGTCTAAAAACTTGTCTCTGCAGTTTTTGTTGTCTCCAACGTTTCAGGAATATTAAAATTATGTTGTCTCCAATGTTTTGTTGTCTCCAACGTTTCAGGATATAATTGTTTGATTTGCAAGACAGCAGTAATGTTGATTAAATATCAACTTACAATTCAATTTCGAACAATATGGCCAGGCCTGTTTTTGCAAACAGTAAGAGTAGATTTAAAAATGATCTGTTCCTTTGTTTCTCTTTTTAAATCAATGTGGTCGAAGTCTTCATAACTTCTTGCATTCAGGGGTCAAACGGAGTTATCCGAAAAAAAATCTGTATGTAATCTGTATATAACCTGTATAAAATCTGTATGTCATCTGTGTAAAACTTGACAAAGAAAAACCAAATTTATTGTCCTTTGATGGTGATTACATATTTTGAAGATATACTCTATAAAATCTTAGCAAATCAAAATGAGTTCTAATCGATTATCTAATGATTATTATCGAATTTTTACTGTATAAAAATGAATTACAATTTATCTAGAATCTGTATAGTTTTCCGTAGATAATCGATTTTAATCCATTTTGGTCACTGCGGGAAGCTCCTGTGACACAGATGCGAGGACGTGTTGTGTTATTCTTAGTCTCCATTTAGGGAGATTTTTTCCAGCACTAAGCCGCAGTTTTATTTGTCAAGGCTTAATTCTACCCTTTCTGACCTGGTTTCTCTTTTTCTATCTTTTTAGTGTTACTTTTTCCTGTTTTCTTGCTTGTGTTTGCGAAGTTCTGCTTCGCTCCTGTGTATCCGCATTTGAAGCCCGAACGGCTTCTTTGGTTTTGAAAACAAAAGTGTATCGGTTTGGTATTTCAGATATTTTATGGTGAACGTTTAAGATACTCACCCGGCAAAACAGCAAATGTTCGAGAAATATATGAGAAATATATGATTGTAATTTAAATGAAGTGATGTTGGAGTGAATAAAAAAAACAACAGAAAAGATGGGTGTAGAGAAGAATGGTAACGATGCGCTCCTGTTGAACAACTTGGGCAGAGGCGCCTCGGACCAGTCGGACAACTCGATCGATGTTGACGCTGTGGATGGACTGGGTGCACCTTCGCCTCAAGGTTACAACGAGAATGCTATAGAGGTTAGATTACACAGTTCTAGTCAATTTCAGCGTTTCATTCTAGATTAAAATGATTCCTCTTGTACTTGCAGTCGGAATCTTTGGAATTAATTTAACATAATCATATTTTCTTGAATTTGAAGTTTAGAAAAAGAACAGATGGAAGCGTAAGTTGGAACAGGCTTAATGATTTCGATTTCTTGATTTTAAAGAAAAATATTTAGCCATACGTGTTTTCAGCAATATCCTAAACGGGTAAATTTAGCTCGCTTTTAAAGAATCCTTTTTATGCGAACGAAAAGAAATCAATTGATATCATCTCTTAGTATTTTACTTTTTAAGCCATTCTAACTGTAATTGTAATTTAAAAAATGACATGCAGCTTAAACGCTGATATCAGTCTTCAATATGTTAGCCACCTCGCAACGAGTCTTTCGACTTTCCACTCGCGGATGAGCAATCATTCGATGAAGCAGCTCGTGAAGATGAACAAGAGGGAGGGGTAGCTGAAGTAACTAATCCGCTCAAAAAAAATCCAAGTTTGCCTATAATGTTTCTGAGATCTATCTCAGCGCCTGCACAAACTGCGGACACGCAGACAGCAGCCAACATCCATAAACTGGTCAGAAATAATTCCAACGAATGACACTTGACACGGAACTAATTTTGTCATCGTTAGATTTGATTTTGAACTTATTGCTACTTGCAACTTGAAGTAATATACATGTTTGTGGTTCAGTTCATGGCCCCTAACAATCTATTTGTGTGTGTCGAGAATGGCTAACATGTGTTCAATAGCCACAGATGTCTTTTGAATCAATGTTTAAACAGTAAATGAAAAGAATGGAAAGCTTCCTCGTGACAGTATAACTGAATGTCAGAAAGTTTTTAGCCAGTTAATTTTCAACAATTAAAAGGAAAAGCTTGACCACCTAAAGAATTTGATTAGTTTAAAGTTTTCTGCCATTTGGTTTTCGGAATTTCTGTTACACGATTAACGGAAGCATCGTGTCTAGACATTTCATTGGCCTCAAAACGCATGTTGATTCGGGAACAATTGAATAACTTAGTACCATGTTAACTGCGGCCATAATAGAGCGGAACTGAAAGTGTATGTACCACTTCGGCTCTGAACCCTCCAGAGCGCAAGCTCTCGGAGCCTGGAACTCTGCTTCTGAATTCGCCCACTAGCCACGACCAACTCTCGGTCGAAGATCGCTTCTCTGATATTTTGGCCAATACGGTCCTAACTGTTGCCGAAATGAAAAAGAGGAATAAAAAACATGTAGTCTGTGCTCAGAACATTGTAAGTTTGTCTTCTGGGAAACAGTTTGGTATGTAATATTTGTTAAGAGAAACAATTGATGGCGATGTTTTGTATAGCTTGGCTTGGTTGTTCCTCTGACTTTTTTTGTGGTTTGTGGGAACTTTTGGGAAAGTTTCGTGGAAAGGGGTGGTCGAATTCCCACTTAAGCCGCCTTTGCTTTGGTATTTTTTTTTCTCAAAAAGTCGCTGTCATTTTATGCGTTCTTTTCTTTTTTAATGGTTCTTAACAATCACAGGTTTAACAACCCTTTATGCACTCGAAATGTCCGAAGTTTTCCCAGTGCCAGTCAATTGTATTGAATGTAAATTGTAGGGCATGCGTAGTTAGATCAAACCATTGACATAGTGTTACATCTATTTATTTTTTAAAGTTGTATTCAAGCTATTTCGTATTTTCGATCAGTTATTCGTAGCTTTTCATTTTTTCCCGCAAGTTGTGCCAATAAATGATTTCAACTAAAAAAATCCGTTGCCGTTGATGAGTGTGAATTATATTATACTCAAAGCGTCGGTTGTTGATTAGATATTTACAATCGTGCGTTTGGTTTTTGGAAAATTTGCTTGCTTTCGCGGTCAGCAGATACTATCCAATCGTCAGTCGCTCAAAAACGTTGCAACCGTAGTTTGCATGGAATTGGTGTTGCATATTCCATTGTTATTGCTCTGTACAAACACCTGTCTATGAATACAATAGTTATATTTTCCATCTTTTAAAACAGTTTACTACGCACTGTACTACGCTTGCTTCGTTTCCTATGGAATAATTTCTTCTTCGTTTATCTCGCTAATGTGGTTCAAATCGACATGGTGTCTGAAATTGTATCTGATAAATCTTCTCCTCGAGTGTCGAGAAAATCTGTTGCCAAACCACAGCGAGTTACCTTTTCCAATAGAACATTCAACACAAAGCCACCTTTGCCGAATATTAATTCAAGCCCAACGTCCAATTTTTCTTCTCTTGCAGCCTCGAAAGGAAAACAGAATTCGCCTGTTGTTGACTTCATAAAAGCGATTGAACTTCGTCCTGTTTTGTGGTCGGTTGACGATGCTCAGTATGACAACACGCAGAAGAGAGAAGAGGCGTGGAGAGAGATAGCAGAGTTGTTTCATTCTGAAGGTTCAATAGATTTGATTCAAGTTTCTAGTTTTTGCGATGCTGTGAATTTTTTGTTTCAATTTTTTGTGTGTGTCATCTACTCCCAAAAAATAAATAATTGGTTAAAGCTTTTTAACACTGTTTTTGGGGATTTCAAAATTCACAATGGAATAAGTTTTTTGAATAACTAAATGGTTGCCAATTTAACGCAGTCGAAGAAGTGAGTTCGCGATGGCGTCAGCTTGCGACCAGGTACGAAATCGAATGCCATAAACTCAATTCAAAACAGCGGCAGCAGAAAACACCCAAATGGTTTCGATCCAAGGGTGCAAATGCCAGCTCACCCGGTTGGGGAGGGAGTTCGAATTCTTCAGCCTATTCTTCGTTCTCGTGGGGGTCATCGTGGCCACTAATGAAGCACATGTGTTTCCTGGCTAACAGTGCGACTGAGTTGACCCAGTTGATTGCCAGACAAGTGGCAGAGGTGAGACCACTTAGAGGTCAAGGTCACCAGATTGTGTTGTGGCAGTGTAGATATGATGCTCATTACTAGCGTGAGAAAGGGATTTAACGTTTTATTCCTAGTGGTGCTGCATTCCTTCGATCGAATGGTACTGTAATCGGATTCGAATGTCTCGAGTCTTTCATAGTGGGTTTTTGTTGTTCTGATTCCTATTACCTTGCTTTATCATTTTTATACAGGTCTTTATCCGATATTTTTGGTCTAGTGGGCCGTTTTGCATAAGCCTTCGATAAACATAAGCATAAGCCTTCGCATAAGCCTTCGCTAATGTTTTGTGAACATTAGCCTTCGATAAAGCCTCGTTTCTCAGCATCCAAAAAAGTGGTGCACATTTTATCATATGTTCATTTACCAACAAGACCGACCTCTTAAGCCACAATAGTCAGTTCACATTTAGTTCTTGATCAAACAATTTACCTAGTTCAAATAAGTAATTGCTGTAGTTTAATTTGCTGCATTTAAATGCCCAGATTGCTAAGGTCGCTTCTTAGAGCATAGCGATCTCTGTCATCATTACCCTAATGTTTTATTTGGTTTCAGACCCCGGTTTTCTCAGTAGATTGATTTGCCCCGCATGATTGAAGCATGTGTTAACTAACCGTTTCTCCAATATTTGGCGTTTGTAGAGAATGTTTTTATGATTTACTGAGTGTGCATGGTTAGAGCAACTGGCGTCTTCTCGGGCCCACTGTTTGTTTTTAACTATCTTGTTGTTTTAGAATCAAATCTCCGACATCAAAAATGATTTCCAATTCAAAAGAAGGGAATGCTTCGTGTTCATTCCAGATGAAAAAGCCCCACCGGAATCTGGGTAAGATGTTGAAGTTGTATTTTTAATGACAATTACTTTAGACCAATCAGCGTTTCAAATTTCCTTAATGAAATAAGCCAATTTTCATTATAAAGTCTTCAGTTTTGAAAATGTACTATGAATATTTTTAGCAGACCCAAATTATTAGCGCTATGCGTTTTTTTAGTATTTGTGCTTGTGGGCGTCACGTAGACAAGCATGCGAAGACGCGAGATAATTTGACGAATGCGGAACAGGGCGTTAAATGGTCGGCTAAAGAGCACACAAAGGAAGAGCCGACTAACTCATTCGGAGAAATACACTTCTCAGGCACCGCCACAAACCGAACTGCTCATGTACGTTCAGCTAAATGCTAACCATTAGAAATAATCAACGTTTTTCGGCCAAGTCATCTTTTGTGTAGTGAGAAACTGTTGATTTTAATTTTTTTAATCTGTGGTAGAACGTGAAATTGGTGCACAGGCGATTGACTGTATTGTAAAAATTAGAGGTGTGATCGCTAATGAAAGAATTATTCACTTGGGGTTCATCTTCAGCCGAACCTCGCTAGCCCATCCCCCCAGCCGAAGGATTGTACGCGTTGAAGAAAATTTGACGAATACAGAATAAACAAGAATAGCCACAGTTTTTGAAAAAAAATGACTAAAAAAATAAAAAACATTTCAAATTTTTTTTTGCGGAAATTTTTTGAATTTTCAAGTTTTAGATTCCAAAAATTGCGCTAAAAAAACTCCAAAAAACGACCTTTACCTGAGTAAAACCAAGTTTTCACGGCTTAAATTAAGCTCAAATAAGCTATTGCTATTTCTATCATACCAATTAGCTCGAAATCAGACCGAAAATTAAAAATTTCAAACCAGTTTTTCTCGACACTGCGAAAATTTTTTCAAATTTTTTAACACCGTTTGAATCACGACTGAAAGGGCTTTAATATGATATATCCCTCAACCCTGTCCGATGAATATTTGTGGTAGCTGAAAACAAAAAAACTAAAACACCCGAATCCACAATTCCTCTCCATTTTCAATGGTCGAAACGGAACAACAAGTGCGTAATCAATTTCGTTGAAACAAAGTTACCGGAGTTATTTTTTTCCAGAAATAGTGCGCAAGAAATAGACTTCAGGCAAGCAATTTTTGTTCTAGTACATCCGAGTATCTACGGACACGAATGTGCATCGCCTAGTGGAGTTTGCATACAAGCACTGGAAGCTGCCCCAGCCTAAGATGATAATATCAATCACTGGTGGAGCAGGGGATCTCAAGATGGACAAGAAGCTCAAAGATGGGCTCAAAAAGGGACTCATGAAGGTGGCCGTCTCCACTGGTCAGTGTTCTAACCTGGACGTTTCTGAAATAAATGGACATCGTTTACTTTCGCACATGAGAGACAATTTAGTACTAACCGAATGGCACCGAAATTTGTATATTTGTATTTTTTGTGTGCTTTTTGATTGGGCAAAAAATAACCCGTGCCGGATACTGCTACAGATACGTCATATAATTGTTTTATTTAGCAAAAACCCGTTTTGTTGCTCTCCTCATGTTCGCTGATATTGGTTCACAATTTCAGAAACTCAAAAGTTGAAAAATTGATACTTTGTTTAAACTTTTGAGCTGTGATACTCTTACGGAAAGAGGAGTTTGTAGATGTTCTGGAATAGTACTTATCAAGCAGCTCGTATTCAGGTGCTTGGATAGTGACTGGCGGGTCCAATGCGGGTATCATGAAGCTGTGTGGAGAGGCAGTACACGATTACATTCTGGCCCATGGGGAGAAGGACAACTCCCTTGTGACTATAGGAGTGGCCACTTGGGGTGTAATCACCAACAGACACACTCTTGTTAGCAAAGATGTAAGTATTTCGGGAACGATGACCTTCAATTTGACTGATATTTGCGCATAAGGTTTATCGATGAGGTGTTACAAGTGAATGTCTGAAAAATGGTGCTCACTCACTTATAGTTTTAATTGCTGTACTTTGCTTAAGTTTTTAAAGCCCATGGCGTGTTCGTTAATTCAGGGCAATGGGAATTTTCCGGCAGAGTACAGTGGCAAAGTATCGGAGAAGGAGAAACAACTGTACCGTGCGACGAGGGGTCAGAATCTGATCGAGTGCCACCTAGACCCCCACCACACCCACTTTGTGCTGGTGGATGACGGGAGTGAGGGCCAGTTTGGGAAGGAAATGGCCATCAGAGGAGAGATGGAGGCTGAGATATGCAAGAATGAAGTTAGCCGCTTAAAAGGGATAGTTTTTTTTTTTGCAAGGGGATCATGTTACAATAGATTGTGTTATAATAGGATTAAATCTCACCTGATATGGTTCCCATGGATTGGGAATTATCAGTGGAATTAAAAAGTCATGAAAAAATGTATCCATAAAAATTTCCTGAAATGAAAAGAGATGAATTTGATGTTTTTTTTACACAAGCAAGCGCTGGTGATATTGCTTTTTAAAAGCATATTCGACCCGTTCAAAACGCCCTGGTTCTGCTATTGAGAATTTAAAAAGTGAACTACAGCTGAAAAAGATATGCATCGAACTTACAAAGGTGCAGTTCAATATATTCATTTAATTATATTTGTATTAGCCAATAAGATATTCATTCCGTTTCTCAAGCAAAGAAATGTTCCAACAAGACCCTGATACTTATCGAGTTTGATTTTCAATCTTGACTCGCTCAAATTTGTGCTCGGTTTCATTAGCAAGCGATTTTGTGGCTGTGTATCATCCACTTTATTAGATTAGATATTTACGATTATATTGCATATAAACTTGGAAAAGACGAGAATCGCGGAGCTTGAGTGTTTTCATCAATGCTGTATAATTTATTGTATATATTATAGGTGACATCCATCTATCAATTTTTTTTTGCTATGTTCAATTTCGTTTCAAGAAAAATGCATCTGTTTGCGTTTAGATTCATGGCAAAGCGGCAGCAGCTGGCAATTCTGATCTAGATGGAGCAACGGCATCTGTGGAAGATGAGCTCAAAGTTCCAATCGTCTGTGTTATGGTGGAAGGAGGCCCTGGAACCCTAAACACAGCTGTGGAAGCACTGAAACACGAAACACCTGTAGTCATTGTGGAGGGCAGTGGCAGGTGTGCGGATGCAATTGCGTACGTCTACCATAAAATGAAGAAGAGAACAGTCCAATCATCTGCAGATACAAACTCAAATGAAGCTCAGTGAGTCTTTGGCTCTTTTTTCGCCCTAAAAATTTGGCCTCTGGACTCATTAGCCCATGACAAACATATTTGATCTCAATACTTGGCCTTGTAAAGCCCCTCATTGCAACATAAAAATGGTGCTATTGTGAGGTGGGGCCGAGTTTCTATGTAGATGAAACGTAATTATGATCCAGAAGTTTTGTCTATTGTTTTTTTTTTTCATTGAATATGTCTACGCGCGAGGGGATCAGGTCGAGTTTCTGAGGTTTTAAATATTTACGCAAAGAAGAACTCCGATGAAATCGATGAAATAAAATTATACTAACTTCAGCAGACCGGTCGATGTTTGTTTTCTCAATATTTGAAATGTAATTACCCTTGCGAAAAGCAAGGGTATTGCAACCGGGCACTAGACTTTTTCCCCGTAAACAACTTTGTCAACAGGATGACTAAAATTTGGTTATCTCCTAATACATCTCTATTTCCACCCAAGACGAACGTCTAAAGCTATAATTCAAAAGCTGGCTTCAACGACTGACGTGATAACTGTTTTACAGCTGAAAACGATTTTTAGATGTAAATTGATTTTTTTGTCGGCTTTATTGATTTCGACCCAATTTTTATTAGCTTACTTGCCGGGTAATTAAATCTGTAATTGATTTGGTAGATTTGTGATACTCTTTTTTTCATTTTCATGAGAATATTAATAGTTTATAGTTTTCTGGTTTTTATAGCCGCCAAAATTTTTTGTTAGAAATAAAACTTTTTTTTGAGTTTTTTTTGCTAGAAATGTTTTTTGCAAATAAATTTTCAGTGTTTTTCGATTGCCTTAATTCTGATTTTTTGAAATGTAAATAAGCGTGAAACTAGGTATAGTTTTAATTAGTTACGTGTGCTTTAGGTGTAAGCAATTTTATTTGAAATCGTTTGTTGTTGTTGTTGTTGTTGTGGCTTTCCAGTAGAAAACTGGTGGGAATTTCTTCCACAGAGTTTATAATATTGTCCAGTTATTTTTGCACGTTGTGCAGTCGCAGCATATCTGCCAAGTGCAGAGGTTGAGGGTACTGTATTTTTCACTGTAGAATTTCCACATAAGAGTTGTGATGCGCTGTTTGAGTCCCTGTTCTATCCTGAAATTGACTAAATGATCTTTTCTATTTGCAACTCTGGTTGTAAATAGAAAAGATATTTACAACCAGAGTTGTAAATAGAATAGAACTCTGGTTGTACGAATAACGAATTCTCCCCTGCGTTTTTCTGTTCGAGTTTTGGGTAATTTGAAGGGCTCTAATCGTCGGTCTAGGGTATTGTTAGCTGTGGGATGCTGTGGTGTTCGTAGTCAGTGCAGAGTTTTGAAAGCAAAAGTAATTCATTGATCTGAGCTAAAATGTTGAGCATTCTAAGTTGATCAGTGTATTTTTGGCAGTGTTTTCCACATATCCACTTTACTACTTTCTTTTGAAAAAATTCAAGTTTTTGTAGGTCTTTTCTCAGAAAGTTCGCACAGTGACAGCCGTAGGTTAGGACTGGTAGTAATATTGATTTGTAGAGACCTAGTTTTACAAAGGTGTTGACGTTATATGCTACATTTCGTCTTAGACTTTATAGTAATTTGTTTGCTTTCTTTAATCGTTCGGTTAGATGAGTGCTCCAACTAAGATCTCCTAACATGTGAATACCCAGATCTTTTATAGATTTTGGCTGAGGTACACGATTTCCGTTCAAAAATAGATTTATATCAACACCTCTGAAGTTTATTTGAGCGCATTTTTCGAATGCCAGTTCCATGTTGTTTTGTCTAACCCAATCTCCGATTTTGTTTAAGTCAAGTTGTATTTCACCTTGTTTGCGTCCAACAGATAGAGTTTTTAGATCGTCAGCAAATATTGAGGGGTCACTGAAGCGTAGGACTTCAGGGAGATCATTTATAAAAACACAGAACAGGAGTGAGCCCAGGAGTGAACCTTGGGGTACCCCGCTGGTTATTTCGAGGACGGTGGATGTGTAGAAATCAACCCGAACAAATTGCATTCGGTTTCTGAGATAATCGTAGATGATTTCGAGTAGGCATCCACCTACACCAATATCACTAAATTTTCGGAGTAATAATTTGTGGGGGACTTTATCGAAGGCCTTGGAGAAATCAGCATAAAAAGCAATGATCTCATCATGGGGATTTTCATCCAGGGCTTTTAGATTCGATTTAGGAATCGGAGCATGTTGCTCATAACGGAGCGTTTCTTCACAAAACCGTGTTGGTTTATGGAAAGATGTTCTTTAAAGTGCTCGTAGAGTGGAGAGTACATGCATTTTTCAAAGATTTTGCTGTCAATGTTTAGAAGGGAGATTGGGCGATAGTTTTCAACGTCTTTTGGGTCGTTCTTTTTGTGAATGGGTGTTACAGCCGCTGTCTTCCAACTCGTTGGGATTTTGCGTATGCGTTTAATATTCTTGAAAAGCTTATTGAGTATATTACTAATTTGTTTGCCGCATCATTGGTAAAACCCTGGAGGTAGACCATTTCGTCCACAAGTTTTTGTAGTGTCTATATTTGCCAGAATTTTACTTATTGTTTTGTTTGAAACGCTGAAGTTTGTTAGGGTTGGTGATTCGCACTTTATGTCAAGGAAGTTGTAGTTCTTTTTGGCTGAGAACACTGAGTGAAAAAATGTGTTAAACATTTCTACCTTTTCTTCTGGAATTGATGTCATTTTGTCTTTGAACTTGATTGTTTTCGGGATGTTCGAAGCTCTATTGATATGCTTAAGGTGCTTGTAAATTTGACCACAATTTCTTGAACCAAAAATTTTTTCTTGTTATGAGATTCGATCATGTTCACATAATTCAGTGATTTGGCTTTCTAGTTTGAGGACCTTATTTTTTCGGTAGCTAGTTGGTCGTTTTTCGAGTAACCTCTTTTGCGTGTTTTCATCTGATGTGATGTACTCGGTGTAATCCAAGGTGGTAGCGATTGACGATATTTGGTTCTTTTTGGGACGTGAGTGTCTATCAAGTCGGTTAAGTAGTCTTGAAGTTCGTTGAACATATTGTCAACATTGGTGTAGAATTGGGGGTTGAAGGGCCGATCTTTCATGGCACCAACAATCCGGTCATAATCTCCTGACCCAAAACTGTAGAAGTTTGTCATTGCTGGGGGAGGATCGAAATGTTTAAGTTCTATTGCTGTTCTGATTGCAATATGGTCAGAGCAGTCATAGATCTTATCAAAATTTTCATCGTGTTCAGAGTTCAACGTGTTTGTGCCGCAGGTCGGAAAGTTAATGCTCTGTTGAAGAAGCCTATCTTCTAACATTTCTAGGATTTCTTGTTCATCGTTTTCTTGACTGCTGAAAATGTCCCAGTTTGTAGATGGAAAGTTAATGTCTCCACATATGACTGCTTTACTGTTTTTAGGGATGGCTTCGAGAATTTTGTTGAAACATTGGTAGTCATATCTGTATTGACTGGCTCTAGGGGGGTTGTAAAAGGAGCATATATAGATGGTTTCGTTTGCTAGGGTTATGTTACATAGGACACAACATTCGACGTCGAGTTTTTTTTTGGGAGTTTAGTGAGTTCTTAATGGCAATCAGGGCACCTCCGTGAGTGTTAGACGACTGCTGTGCTCTATCTGCTCGGTAAATGTTGTATTCAGCAAGTAGTAGTTCAGAGTTTGAGATATTTTAGTTTAACCATGTCTCACAAATACAAATAACACTGTACAAACCAATTTTTGTTGCATTTGCCATTTTGAATCTTCTTTCATAGTTAACTAAGCTGCGTGCATTAAATTGTAAAATGTGGAGATGATCTAGTCAAACGTTGGATGTTGTATTTTCTTGTTCTGGCTGGGAAGTTTGGTTTGATTGAACTTTTGCTCCATCATGGAAAAGCTCAAGGTTTCTTATTTTCGGTTTTTTTAGTGGTACGCCTTCTTCAAGCATTTCCCTACGTCGTTTCAGGCAGAGGTTATCTTTGATAGAATCTTCTTCAGATAGAGCACGTGACAGAAATATATTCATTTCTTTCATTTCGTCTCTTTTTTCAGTACTTTTTGCAATCACTAGATTGACTGCTGCTGGATTTTCAAGCGTAACTAGAAGTGTTCTAGGCTTTTTCCTTTCTTTGTTGAATGTTCCAAGTCTTTTAAACTGGACTATTTTCGGTTTAACTCCTATGGTTCCCAAAATTTCCTCTAGTTTTTCGTGAGTTTGGACAAGATTCACGTCGGGTAGTTTATTAGGATCTTCATGGATCCCTTGCACTCTTACATTGTGTTCGATGCTGTGAGTGGTTGTGTTGTTGTTGTTTTTGGAGTTTTGAGGACTATTCACGTTTTTGTAGCTTTGAACTTTCTTCACGACGTTTGCGTAACTCTCGTCTACTTTGTCGTGTGTTTTCCTCAATGCTTCGTTTATTTTCTTTTCGACAATTTGAGCAATTTGCGTTTCGAGTGTCTCAGCATTGCTAGACATGTTTTTGTTGATTTTTTCTTCCAGATTGTTGACAGTCCTGTTCCGAATGAAGTTGTCGCGTTCGTTGTTTTCAATGCAGACGTTACAGAGTAACATTGAGTTGCGACCAAGCTCCTTTATTCCGTTGATGGCTACGTTTGATAGTCCTGTGCATGTTGGTTCTAGATGCATGTGACAACCACACGCTACACAGTTGTAACTTTTTTTCGGCTTTCGGTCTGGACCTTGTGCAAGTTCGGCATGTGCGACTCATCGTTGAAGAGTTAACAGAGGGGGACTTTACAGAGGGATCTGTGATTCCCGAGAAAAGACGCCTGCGGTACGATGCGTGCAGAGAAATATGCAAACCTGTGGATCCCGAAAAGGGGGCGCCTGCGGTTTGAAATTTCTAGAACATTCGATGGGGTCAGAGAAATATACAAACCTGTGGATCCCGAAAAGGGGACGCCTGCGGTTTGATATTTCTAGAAAGGACAGAGGGAAGTACAATTCACAAACCTGCAGCTTACACTCAGTAAGGGCAGTAGCAGTGTCGGAAGGTGCACTCGTACTGGGTGAGATGACCTTCGTCGTTGAAAGCGTCAGAGTATTTCTTGTACAGTATCTTGTTCTTTATGATGCTTTTGATGCCCTTGAGACCTTCTGGGCTTAAGTGAATTTCGTCACTGCCTAGATGGTAAGTACTGTAAATCTTCTCACACACGCCTCTATACTTCCAATTTCCCTTCTTTTTCTGTATTTCGCGATTCACTCTCGCCGATCGGAATCGATATTCACTGCGGTGAGGGATTCCGATGACAAAAATCTGCTTTGCTAGTCTGCTTAGCTCCTCGGCTAATTCTGCGAGTTCGTTTGCAATATCTTCTTCAGGGACCGTGGAGGGCTCTCTTCCGTCAAAAGCGTCGTTTCCCCCAATGAGCAAAACTATGGTATTGTATTTGTCCTTCGGAGGTAGCAAGCCTCTGACCGCAGCGATACGGGCTCCAGGTAATGACAAAATGTTTGTGTTTGGGAATTCCAAGTGTCGCGCCTGCGAATCTGCTATCAGAAGGTTCTTTGACGAAGATGTTTTGAAAATATGATATCTCCTGGTTGACATTTAGAGCGAGGCAACCATTGCTACCTCGAGAAATTCAAATTTATCTGAAACTATTTAATAAATGGGTTAACGTATTGATGGGTTAACGTATTGTTTCAATATTTCACAAAAAAAAACAATTTAAAAAAATGATTAATTTTCAGATTGTTTTTATAAAGTTGACTTTTTGTCTACAGAGGAATGTGGCGGCAAGTTCTGCCTATGTTTCAGGAGTGTGGTTCTTTCCGGCTGAAATTTATGAAATTTTTTTTGTTATTTGTTGTTGCGATTCAGCTCTCTTACAGATGCGTATAAATTTCATAACTGATAATTTTTGATAAAATTGCAATATTTTCATAGGCTGTAGAGTTTTTTCAGATTTTCTGCAAGTTTTTTTTTTGTGGCAATTGTTTGTAATTTTTGCATTCATGTTTTTGATTTTTTTTTTTCATTTTGATCTTATACTATAGCGGATAGGGCGTTTATCCCCGATTTTTCTTGTTGGATATGCAGATTGTTTGGTTTCAAGATTTACTGTACAATTTTGGAGTACATATAGAAATTAACGTATCTCTATTTTTTGAACGAAATTCAAGGTAATCAAAAAGAAATGGATGGAGTTAAGCCCAAATCCTTCTTTTTTGTTTTGAAAGTAGTTGACTTCTATAACAATTGCAATATTTTTTTGTTTCTGAATTTTGAGTCTACGATTTCTTCAACAAAATTCATTCATGCTTTTCATTTTTCGTTTAAGACACTTCGCCTCTGTATTGAAGACTTGATCTATCTTACTTTTTTACTAATATTGTATCTGTTTTTAGAGAGGAAGAGTACGGGATTGATCCGCAAGAGGCAGAACAGGTGTATAAAAAGACATGTGAGATCCTGGGTGTGAAAGAAGAGCAGGGCAGGATGTTCTACGACAATATCCTTTTCTGTGTCGGTTGCAGGAGTCTCCTCACTGTGTTCAAACTAGACGGCAGGAGGACTTCAACGAGAGACATTGATATCGCTATCCTCAGATCACTACTCAGTGGTAAATTTTTCTCAAATTGGGTTAGTTTTGTCAAAAAAGAGTCAATCATAAAAGTTTCTGGACAATCAAAGAGCTTTATAATTATGAAGTTAAATCAATGAAGCTCGAAATTAAACGGAAAAAAAATCGATGGTTGTTCTGTTTTCTGGGGTATGTTGCTTGTGTTTACACTAGCGTTTAGCGTAGTATAGTATAACGAACCTTCTTTTTTTCTAACCCTACTCGCAAAAAAAGCGCTCTTTTATTTAGAAATTTCACTATAGCATTGGAAATTGCATAGCATCTGTTTTCTGCTTTATTTTTGGCTAGTGTTTGGTACCTATCAAGCGTCTGTGGCTGAGTGGTTGGTGTGTGAGACTCTTAATCTCTCGGTCTCAGCTTCAAATCTCAGACGTAGACGATTTTTTTATACTAATTCGAGGCTTATTTTTAATTTTTCTTATTGCACTTTATTGAGCTGCTTTTTTTTTCGTGTTCTCGCTAGTGTTTGCGAAACGAAGCTTCGCGTCTGTGTTCAATTTTGGTTTTAAGGTTTATTTTTGGAAATAAGGTGGTCTAAAACAGATAGTAAAAGTAATTACTTGGAACTCTGTCGCAGGAGGGTTTTGTAAATCAAAATAATTGCGCAAGTCCTAACGACCATGGACCGAATTGTTCGATTGTCTGCGTTTCTATATTAGCCTTTTACGGATATTTGTGCTGAGCTGTGGCTACAAATTTTTTGCATGGTAATGGTAACCATCTAACTTTCGTGTTTAGTGAGCTCGAACAAGTTCGAGCAACTGAAGTTGGCGTTAGCCTGGAACAGACTGGATATCGCCAAGTCAGAGATATTCTCCCTTGACCAGAGTCAGTCTCTCATTAGTGTAAGTAATACCAATTTAAAATTAAGGATAGCAGGTTGCTGTGCAAGTAGCACAGAATGTTCCTACCATAGTATCAAAAAAATCAATTTTTTTTTCAAATTAGTGTAGTTTTTTTAGCAGTTATAGTAAAATTAGCAAATATGATATCAATGTTTTTGGGAGCAATTTTTTTAATTTTTTTTTGGGAGTGTTTGATTCCAAAAATGGAGCTAACAAGGTCCACAAATTAACTTTACTCGAGTAAAGCTAAGTTTTTACGGCTTAAATTAAGCAAAAATGAGCTATTGTAAGCTCAAAATAAGCTAATAATTGCTCGAAATTAGATCAAAAATTTCGCACCGGTTTTTCTCGTCACTCATTTTTTTCAGTTTTCTAATGTCATTCCAATCACGACTCAAATGGTTTTAATATGGTATATCACTCGACCCAATTCGATTTTTATTTGTGATACTTGTTTTGCGTGGAAAACAAAATGAAAAACCTAAAACACACCCGAATACAAAGTTCTTCCCCACTTTGCAAATGGTCGGAACAAAAAGGATAGCTCGTTGCTGTTGAAATTCTTGTCTTTTCTTTCGGCTGAGTGGAACTAAACCGAAGTCTATAAACGAGTTACATTCGATAATTAGAGTTGAATACGTATATTTGACAATGGTTTTTATCAAAAAGCTGATCGATAAAAAATGGTTTTTGGAGTCATGGACATAGTGAATACTCTTATAATATAAAGTTCTTGGTGATTTTTCCTTTTTTTATGAAATTCTTAAATTTTGTTCACGCTAAAAATTTATTTTCCGCGGTTTGACTTTTGATTTTTTTCCTTTGTCCAAAGGAAGGCAAACTCCACTATCGAACAGTATAAGTGTAAATTTCACGAAAAACGTGATCGACTTCTAGTTTCGGAAAAAGAATTTAATTTTCAGATTTCGCAGTGGAATAAAAAAATACCTTTTTATCCAGTTTTCCCAAATTGCGTTACTTTTATCAAAAAAGATCAATCATAATTGTTTTTGAAATTAAAGAGCTTTAAGGTCATCTATGTCTGACTTTTAAAATCGAAAGTTGAAGTTTTTTCAGAAAAGATTTCAATATTTTTTTTCTGTTTCTGAGTGCGTTTATGAGTTTTTTTAGTTCAGTTCAATTTTTTGCATATCTTTCAAAATATTTTTTGTTGTCAAGAAGGCTCTTGTGGAATTTTCAAAATCTAATATTCATGGGATGAACGTAAGTTTTTAAGTTTTGATTCCTTATTATAAGCCTGCTTGCTCGCTTTATTCGTTCGAAACTAGACCATCCAATCAAAAATTTTAAACCGGCTTTTCTCTACACTGCGGAGTATTTGTGGAATTCTTTTAATACTGTTTGAATCGCAATTGCAAGGTCTTTAATATAACATACCACTCGACCCCTTCCGTTGAATTTTTGTGGTACCCGATTTTGCGTGGGAAAAAAAACTAAACACACCCGAATACTAAGTTCCTGACTTTAATTTGGCTGGCTATGTAAGTAATAAATAGCACGCTTCGCTCTGAAGCTGGTAATGAGGCAATTCTTCCCGGAAAGATATGACTAAACTCATAGGTTTTTTTTGAATCTTTTGATTTAATGTTTCTGATTTGCACCTGTTGGTTTACAGATAGACCAGCTGCAGCAGCTGATGTACCAGGCTGTGTTGTCTGCAAAAGTACAATTCATCCAGCTTTTCATAGAACAGGGCGTCATCCTCAAGGAGTGGCTCACTCCTAAAGTGCTGCATGAGCTATACGTCAAGTCTGTAAGTAGGGCGACGGACGGTGATCAAGATCCTCGTCTTTTCTCTGATAATTTTTGTACTCAAATCTAGTGTCTTAAGATCTGCACAAACGCAGACTGCAAATCTTTAGTTTGACATCCTAGATAGAAATCTTTCAGCTTCTTTATGATCATAGAATTTCTTAAACTCATTTTTCGCAATACTATCACCCGAGTCAAAAATAATTCAGGCTTTAAAACTTGCTTTAAACTTTTTTGTTTACAAATATATTTTTGCTGGTATAGTTCGAAGTCTAAAGTGAGTTTCAGCTCATTCTATTTTCTTCTGCTCTATTAATTGCAAACTGGCAAAATGTGGTGTTTCATAGGCGATGAGTCCCGTAAGTTGTTGATGCAAATCATTTTAACACTTCTGTCAAATCATCTAGCTTTGACTAAAAGTCATCACGTGGCCATGTGCATCATCTATCAGTTCCGTGGCGAGTACCATTGCCTTACCATTTCAGTTTTAACTGTTTAACGCAATCTATAACCGTTTGTCCGCTTTAGCACGGAAAGATAAATAAAAGGCACCTCTAAAAATTCCTTCCGACCGATAAAAATATACGACCGAGAAAGCTATTGATTGTCTAACATCCTATTATATTTCAGTTTGCAAAGTCCGGGTTCCTGAAGAAATATCTCAATCAAAGAATTGTGAGTAGTTTTTAATTAAATTGTTAGCCCAGGTGCACAACGAATGCAAATGCTTAGTCTAGAAAGTGTCCAGTTGCCAGCTGGTACTGCATATAAATTCTAAAACTTTGAAACAGTTAATAATACAATAAAATTTATTTCAAACTCACCATTTTTTTTGCTGAAGCAAAGGATATACTAAACGAGCAGTGGTTTTGCGGGCGATAGCAAATTGTGTCACATTGCTTCTGCTGAGATCAAATTGTTCCTGATCGTAAAGGGCCTCTGATCGACGTTTGATGCGCTACTCATTCGCAAAACATGATGTCAATGTTTTTAAGATTAATGAAGGTTGTGAGTAATGAACGTAGTGTGGGTGTTTGGGTTAATTTTAACATAAAAGAGTCCGTCATAAATTGTTCTACAAATTCAAACAGCTTTAAGGCCATCTATTTTTTTCGTCGAAATTCAAAAGTTGAAGATTTTTGAAAAAAGCGAGTCGGTTTTTTTCAGTTTCGTTGCGTTCATGACTCTTGTTCAACTCTCAGTTGGCTATATATAGCGTTTCCAATGCTCTGAGAACATTACTAAAACAGTGTTTAAGAAATTGATTTTAAGATGATGAACATTATATGTGCTTAAACATTATATTATATATGCATAAACTAATGGGAAAAAAATATTAGGTGAATAATTAGACTTAATTAAGGCAGACACCCAATGAATAATTAGACTTAATTAAGGCCGACACCCAACAAACTGAAATAAAAATCCGAAAAAAAAACAATTAGAAATTTTGCATGGACTATTTAAAAATCAATGACGATCGCTAAATAAGTAGTACATGTAAGATGTAGGTGGCATATTAAAAATAACTTAGATATGGTAACTTACTAAATTGACCATTCTGTGATCAAAGTTTTTAACGGGGAAAAATACACTTATCGCAAGTGTATTGCAAAAGGGTACTAGCCCTTTTTCCCGTTAATAACTTTGTTCAGTGAAGGCTTAATTTAGTAAATTACCATATCTAAGGTATTTTTTAATGTACCACCTACATCTTACATGTACTGCTTATTTAGCGATCGTCATTTATTTTTTGAATATTCCATGCAAATTTTGTAATTGTTTTTTTTTCGGAGAAAATTTGGATTTTTTATTTCAGTTCATTGGGTGTCGGCCTTAATTAAGTCTAATTATTCACCTAATGAACTAATTTGAGATACCCATTTTTGACTGACGGACCCTAAACTTTTCTGAAGGCGCCTTGGGCGCCAATAAATATTAATTTTAAGGGGGGAACGCGCGCCGAAAAAGCAATTTTTTGGTCAAAATTTTCCAAAAAGTGCCTAAAAACATCCTTCTGGCCTGTTTTTTCAAAATTTTACCTGCGGCGCAGAAAAATGGACTAAAACAGAGCCTTTTGATTGCTTCGAAATTTTTTTTGAAAATCCGCCCCTTATCCGTAGAGAAAATCCTAGATCCGCCCCTGATTTTATCATTTCTAAGTTGTTTACACAAGCAAAGCTTGTGTTATAGTATGATTTCTCTCTTTTTCCAATTTAAGTCGCAAATATTGTTGCGACAAAATGTGTTCAATGCCAAAGCTAAGGTGTTCATGTAGCCAATGCTAAGGATATTAACACAGACTTTTATATTACAAATAGCACTTTAGCTTCAAGGTATCGTGGATCTGTAGCGTAGAGGTAGGGAAGGCGACTCGCACTAAAAAAAAGAGGGTTCGAACCTGGGCAGGGTCGGATGTTTTTATTAAACTTTTTCGTATACTAGTTAAAATGCGTCCGCTCTATAAATTGAGGCATGTTAGTTGGTTTTTTGAAAATGACTAGTACTGCTAATGCGTCATAATTGGCTTTCGTCACTTAGCAATTATGTAGACTCATAGTTGGCGTGCGTCACTTAAGAAATTATGTAGACTCAAACTTTACTCAACAGTTTTTCCCAGTAGCGTTATCCGTCATATTTTTGCTTGTGTATGCGAAGTGCAACTTCGCCCCTGTGTTAAAATTGTCCGCGCGTCAAAAATTTTTGTCAGACTTTTGTTTGTGCGCTCGTTTTTACCGGTTTAGTTTTCGCAGCACTAAATTGGCCTAAAACTTAGGCATTTTTTACTTAAATGAAAAATATATTCAGTGTATTTCGGTTTTTGAAAGGTTAACCGAGTTCCTAGAAGTGCTGCCGATATTTTTTGCTATTCAGTTTTTTCAAGTTGTTAATTAAAATTTTTTGGAAGTTGTTTAAGGTTCGATGAACGTAGTTCAGACTCTTATATAGGTCACGATGATTTTTTTCAGGAATTTAATCTCAGGCTCGAATTTACTTTTTCGCGGTTTGACTTATGATTTTTTTTCAAGTTCTTTTTTTTCCTTTGGTAAAAGCAAAGCAAACACTCTTTCAAAAAGCAAAAGTGTAAAGGTCAGGAAAATTGTGATAGACTTCTAGTTTCAAAAGTAGAGTTTAATTTTTTCAGATTTACCTGCGGAATGAAAACTTTATCTACTAATCCAGTTTTCTCAAATTGGGTTAACTTTATCAAAATGTGGTAATCATAAATTGTTCTTGAAGTTCAAAGGGCTTTAAAGCCATCGATCTTTTTGGAAATGTTAAATTTGAAGTTTTTTCAACAAAATTATGTCAGTATTTTTTTTGTTTACTTGCATTCATTAAATCTTTTTTATTTTCCATTGTCTGTAATTTGTGAGTTTGGTGCATTGGTAACATCCATGCTTGAGACGAAAAATCCCGGAAGTTAGATTCCAGTTGGGACCTGTTTTTTTGTTGAAACTCAAGTTTTTTTGACTATTTAAGACTTTCATGTCCGCTTATTTTTGTCGGCTTAGGTTCCGCGATTTTTTTACATGATTTTTGATATGAATTTTCATTTGCTTTTAACCATAGTCATTCATTTTGTACCTCATTGTGTGGAAAAAAAATAATTTATGTTGACATTTTTGAGCTTTCTGGTTTGCAGTTAAATTGTTGATTTAGCTGCTTCTTAATATAGTTTCTGAAAAAGTTTGATACGAAGTAGTTCTATAGTATTTCTACCAGTACCAACAGAATATTTCAGCCTAGTTGCCGACTTATTTTTTTTTCAATAAAGGTTCTAGTGCGAAGCAGTGCTTTTTTGCACAGGTATTTGGCGAACGTATCCGCATTCAAGCGTTTCGAAAACTAAACAAACTAGCAGTGAGGATACTTTTTGCCGGGCAATTTTCAAGTGTTGAAGAGCGAAGTGAACTTACTTACAAAGGTCTTGATGACTTTTTTTTTAAGGAAAAGACCTTGAAATTCACGCTCAGCTCAAATTTGATGCGATCCCCGGTTTGACCTTGATTTGTTTTCAGTTGAGTTCATTTCTTTAGTTAAAGGGAAGACAAACTCCACTTTTAAACTGCAAAAATTTAAATTTCAGGTCATACGTGATTGACTCCTAATTAAACAAGCAAAGCTTGTCGTAGTATGAACTCTCTTTTTTTTCAAACTAAGTAGCAAATATTGTTGCGACGCAAATATTGTTGCGACAAAATGTGTTCAATGCCAAAGCTAAGGTGTTCATGTAGCCAATGCTAAGGATATTAACACAGACTTTTATATTACAAATAGCACTTTAGCTTCAAGGTATCGTGGATCTGTAGCGTAGAGGTAGGGAAGGCGACTCGCACTAAAAAAAGAGGGTTCGAACATGGGCAGGGTCGGATGTTTTTATTAAACTTTTTCGTATACTAGTTAAAATGCGTCCGCTCTATAAATTGAGGCATGTTAGTTGGTTTTTTGAAAATGACTAGTACTGCTAATGCGTCATAATTGGCTTTCGTCACTTAGCAATTATGTAGACTCATAGTTGGCGTGCGTCACTTAAGAAATTATGTAGACTCAAACTTTACTCAACAGTTTTTCCCAGTAGCGTTATCCGTCATATTTTTGCTTGTGTATGCGAAGTGCAACTTCGCCCCTGTGTTAAAATTGTCCGCGCGTCAAAAATTTTTGTCAGACTTTTGTTTGTGCGCTCGTTTTTACCGGTTTAGTTTCGCAGCACTAAATTGGCCTAAAACTTAGGCATTTTTTATTTAAATGAAAAATATATTCAGTGTATTTCGGTTTTTGAAAGGTTATCCGAGTTCCTAGAAGTGCTGCCGATATTTTTTGCTATTCAGTTTTTTCAAGTTGTTAATTAAAATTTTTTGGAAGTTGTTTAAGGTTCGATGAACGTAGTTCAGACTCTTATATAGGTCACGATGATTTTTTTCAGGAATTTAATCTCAGGCTCGAATTTACTTTTTCGCGGTTTGACTTATGATTTTTTTTCAAGTTCTTTTTTTCCTTTGGTAAAAGCAAAGCAAACACTCTTTCAAAAAGCAAAAGTGTAAAGGTCAGGAAAATTGTGATAGACTTCTAGTTTCAAAAGTAGAGTTTAATTTTTTCAGATTTACCTGCGGAATGAAAACTTTATCTACTAATCCAGTTTTCTCAAATTGGGTTAAATTTATCAAAATGTGGTAATCATAAATTGTTCTTGAAGTTCAAAGAGCTTTAAAGCCATCGATTTTTTTTGGAAATGTTAAATTTGAAGTTTTTTCAACAAAATTATGTCAGTATTTTTTTTGTTTACTTGCATTCATTAAATCTTTTTTATTTTCCATTGTCTGTAATTTGTGAATTTGGTGCATTGGTAACATCCATGCTTGAGACGAAAAATCCCGGAAGTTAGATTCCAGTTGGGACCTGTTTTTTTGTTGAAACTCAAGTTTTTTTTGACTATTTAAGACTTTCATGTCCGCTTATTTTTGTCGGCTTAGGTTCCGCGATTTTTTTACATGATTTTTGATATGAATTTTCATTTGCTTTTAACCATAGTCATTCATTTTGTACCTCATTGTGTGGAAAAAAAATAATTTATGTTGACATTTTTGAGCTTTCTGGTTTGCAGTTAAATTGTTGATTTAGCTGCTTCTTAATATAGTTTCTGAAAAAGTTTGATACGAAGTAGTTCTATAGTA